TAGATGTTCCATATATTTTAATGAACGAAGTTGTACAATCGAAATAAAAACTTGTTATTTTAATAACGTTTTTTTATATTTTATTGCTTCCAAACTAGAAGAAAGGTCGGAATTATTAAAAGTATCATTAATAGAGAAGTATATTAGATCTCGAGATATAGGTAAGTGTGGAGCCAATAAAAATGGTGAGGAAGCTATACTGGCCCAACTTGGCAGACGTCACGAACGTGGGGTCACCGATTTGAATGGAACTTTTTTTGTGATATTAGGTCGAAAAAATATTAGACCCATGTCCGAGGGTTCTTGCGAGGGCCGAAATGATGTGGAAGAGCAATAATTCAGCTTTCTAAGGTTTGTAGTAAAGCTGAATTAGGAGAAAATATTGAGCAATTATAAATGCTTTAGTTAACCGCATAAAAGAAAAAAAAATCCAAAAATGTATATATTTTTATGTTAAAACAAATTAGCATTGAAGTGTTTTATAGAACGCTAGTAACATATCTGAATTACTTTTTCATAACAAAAATCTACATGGCCTAATTTACTGGAAGCATCTTTAGGTTTTTATAATTTATTATACATTTGAATTCGTTTAATACAATCAGCAATATGTTTTTAATATTTCATATAAAAAAATTAATTGATATAACCTTGACAGAGGGATGACAGAAAACAGTAATGTAAAAAGAAATTCTGGTGTCCACTCACACGACTTTCCTACCTATTTCAGAAAAGTTATATCTTTACATATGTCCATCAAGAAACAAAAAAAATTGAATTAGATTTATTTTCCTGAAAATTGATCAAAGAAAAGATTTGAGTACGATTTATTAGATAAACTAAAGCAATGTAAACCGGCTTAAAATAGATCAGTGTAAATATTTCAATATCCTCTAATACTACCATTGATCAAAAACTTTTTGCCATAGCCTAATTTCGCCAAACAATAATTTCTGTTAAAAGTAGAGGTAATAGTGAAGCTTGTGTGATGCAGGCAACAGATTTTCTTACTTTCACTAAGTTCCCTATGATATGTATCCGTAATATTACATTGGAAATTGAATAGCTGTAACTTCGTTAATAGTTGTCCAAAATGAACGATTTTTGATATAGTTTTGTAGGGAATTTCAATACATTTTAAAAAAAAAAAAAAAAAAAAAAACAGGCTGAACGATGTTAAAACAGGGCGCTCTGAAACGTATAGATCCGTCGAAAACCGCATATCGGAAATTTGACCCGATCGCGATAATTTCTTTACCTAGTATAGGTAGGAAAGTAATAAATTAAAATATGTGAAGAAAATAGGATACGCTGTATCATCGCTAATACTGGTTCGATTCCGATGATTTTTTTTTTTTGTTTTGTTGGTAATTTAATTACCTTTCAAAAGTTTTATTATAAATTTTACCTTAGCGAGTTAGGCCCCAAAACATTTTTCTTTTCTCTATAACTTTTTTTCCTGAATTTTTTCGGGAATTTAGTCCATGTACGAAAATTGAAAGGACAATTATTAGAACATTATAGGAGAGTTTAATCAAAATCGTTTGAGCCGTTTTCGCGCTACAGTCTATAGAAAAACATGTTTTAAATTCATTGCGCACCAGCTATTGCGTATGGAGCACCCAATTTCTGTCACAGGCATCAGTAGTCAAAACCATACAAAAAAAAAAAGAATCAACAAAATCGTTTCAGCAGTTTTCGAGGAAATCTTGGCACAGACAGACAGTCAGATTGACTAAAAATGTTTTTCGGACTCAGGAGGCTCTGAAACGTATAGATCCGTCGAAAACCGCATATCAGAAATTTGACCCGATCGCAATACTTTCCTTACCTAGTATAGAAAAGTAAAGAATTAATTTAATTTTTTTTTTTTATTTGGCATCTAAGACACATTCTCAAAAACTCTTGGACATGGATTTAATATTTTTCGACCTACTACCACCAAGAGAAGATTCATACAAATCGGCGACTCCACGTTCATAAACTCCCTTAGTTATTTCTTAAGTTTTAATAAACTTTTTTTGTTTTTTTTAAATATTTCATTGTTTAATATTGAACGTAAGAAAACGAGTTATATATTCTTGATTAACGTATATACCTGTATGTATACATCCTTTAATTTATGGGATAGAAGAGACATGTGAAGCAATGTATGAAGTTTATAGTTCTTCTTTTTTTTTTTTTTTTTCACATACTTAAACCTCCTGACAGGTATTTTAAAAATGGCCCTTTATTGAAATCTTAGACAATACCTAGGAGGGTTGGTCACCCTTCCCAGGGAGCAAGCATTCCCACCGCGAGGGGTGTAAGCGTGCCTGCCGCCTGCTCCCACAGTATGGAAGAAGAAAAAAAAAAAAAGAAAAGGGAAACATTTAGGAAGAGTTCCGATTTTAAAATAGAGAGAGAATCACTTTATTATCATAAAATAAAATAAAATGGTGCTGCCCAATAACATTGGGTTGCTAACAACACAGCATACTTATCAATCACAACACAGACATTATTTAAAATTATTATACAATTATAGGATTAACAATATGTATGAGCATAGTATATAAAATTTTTAAACTGCATTTTTAACTGAGCTAAAGCTAAAAGATTACAGCTAACAAATCATAAATACTATTAAAATAACAAAAGTCCTATTTATTATATCACCGGTTGATTATGGATTGTACAATTCGTTGATTATGGATTATACCACTATTAGTTAAGTTTTTATTAATGTATATGACCTAATCAACATTAGATAAAAACTTGTGTCTTGTACTCACAGATGTTCATTATCAAGATTATTACTCTGAAATATAGTAGTAGCGAACCCAGGATTTGGGGATGAGGGAGGGATTTTCCTTTCCTTTTATTATTATTTTTTTTAAAATAATTTTAATTACTCTGGAAGAAAAAAATACTGATATGAAATGATGTTTAAGTTGTCCTTGAACAATTAAAAAAAAAAAAAAAACCAAGGTAATTACCGGAACGAGAATGCTTTTAGATATAAATTTCTTATATTTTTTTCTTGACACGTGCTTACATTTATTAGTTGTTTATGCATTATAAACTAAAAAAGATAATATATTGCAATCGTTTGTAAACTAATTGTTTACTATTTATAAAAAAGTAAATCCTGAATCCGCTAGCGGATAGAAATAATAAAATTATAGTTATCCAATCATAAATATCAAGAATAATATATATATATATATATTCCCGAGCCATTACTATACAAGAATTAGTTGATGACTACAACGGAACCTTGGAACACAGATCATTTATTGTGTAAATCTGTCAGAATAAAATATTTATTCATTATGTAATTCTATATTTTAGATTAGTTTTCATTTATAAAAAGTTATAATAGTTATATAACCAATAAACTAGGATCCATTTTTTGTTCCAAAAAGATACAAAAGCAATAAAATTTCTTTACTAACAATAAAAAAAAATTATTAGGTTATGGCCACATCAAACATATTTTTAGAAACCGTTCACTACCATTATATACTATAATATTTTTTCTTAATTTTAAAATATACGTTAAATTTATTTCTTTAGAGAAAATCTTCAGTCAAAAACTGGGTGGTAATTTTTTTTCTTACTTTATATACATGTGGAGATTAAACTATTTACTGTATATAAGTGTACTTTTTTTCAAATTTTAGTACTCCACTTCTTTAAAGACATTTTGCACCAGAAACTATAATGAAAAATTATATAATTATATTTTTATTATGTATCATTTTTATTCAATATATGGGTACCTATATCTATATAGAAATATATATATATATATAAGTGAAAGTAAAAATGTCTAACTTAAATAAAGGTGAAAATGGTAAATCTGTTTTTGTTTTATTGATTGTATTTTTTTTCTAGAACATTTTTGGCGAAGTTCTTTTGGGTTTCCTTCTGTACATTGATTCCTTTTAAGTAAATCAGCACATCTTGTAACAATTTGCTTATTTATTTTATTTTTTCGCCTCTTTTGTGGGGTTACTATTTTTTGTTTGTTTGTTTGTTTGTTGGATCATTATATTATTATTATTATACAAAAATAGACTTCTTTTAATCCCACAGTTTTTTATGTTATAAATAAAAAAACTTTTTAACAAGAATTTCATATTTCTCTTCATTGTAACGTTTCGTCCATAAAAACATTTTCAAAAACCTCACAAAAAGACAAAAACAATATCAGTCATAATACCGTCATTAAAAATATTTTGAAAGCTTAATTATTCTATGGCACGAATTGTTTTATAAGAATTATAATTTTTGTTGTTGTTTCTTTTTAATTTCACATTCACAAATACTTGAGTTTTTTTTTTTTCCATCTCGTTTTGTCAAAAAGACTTTTCCTTATTACCATTGCTTTTCTATTCACAGTTTGCTCCTTATCTTTACTAGCTACACTAACGGATTTAATTTTTGCGGGGGGGGTGCTTCCTTTTTTTATAAATATTTATAATGATAATTACTTTGGAAGAAAAAGAAAGAAACTAAGTAATTATATGAAATGGCGTTTAAGTGATTCTTGAAGTCCTACTAAATGTAATTACACGAACAATAATACTTTTAGAGATAATTTCTTATAGATCCACCTGTGACGATTTTATAACTAATGTGTTTTGTTTTTGTAAGGTTTTTGAAAATGGTTTTAGGATCGTAAACGTTATTATAATATATAAAATAAAATAAATATAGAAAAAAAATTCTTGTTAAAAATATTTTTTATCAATAAAATAAAAACTGTGGGACTAAAAGAGGTCTTTTTTGTATAACAGTCATATATTGATTTAATATAATATATTTACAAAATTTCTTCAATCGACCTTTGATTATTATATTTTAACATAATTATTCAATTTGAGAACTAGGCCACTTAATTATTATTTATTAATTATTATAAACTATAGTTAAGCGACCTAATTCCCAAATTGAATAATTATGTTTATATATATACATATATATATTTATATATGAATACTTGAATGAACTAGCGATAAGGAGAAGCAGCTGAGATGTAGAAGGGGATGGTGGGGGTAGATTAGAGGCGGAGGAACCAACTGTTGCAGGCAGTTCCCACGCTCACCTGTGGAGTTGAGGTCGTTCCTAGGAGTCACGGGAGAGCAGTCAGTCAGTCGATCAGCAGGAGTACGATACATAGGATACCTTCAGAGAGATGCCAGACATCATGGCAGCCCACCGGCATTCATTGTCAAAGGCAGAGCTCAGGAAGGTAAGTCTATAATATATAATTAATCATAAGTTTAATTAATTTTCATTCAAAAGTGAAATTTTCGAAATCGGGCAATTTCGAGTTTCTCGCGTGTATGCGATGAATACATGTATGTTTTTAAAAGTTTGTTGTGACCAATAATTTTGTAGAGAAAAAAAACCAACTTAATAATAATTTTATATTTAAACGCGTAAATACTTATTGGTTTAAAACTGTGTATACCCCTCCGTTTCATATGCCTTCATATAAAATAATTGGATGACATTTAAAATATAATTATTAATTAAAATTATAAAATAACTATTCTAACCAAAATTCAAAAAATTTAAATATATATATCCATATATTAGTTCGTCTGTATGATGAAATGTCAATGAGACATTGATGTGAAATTCTCCTTATGTTGAATATTATATGTGATATTCTCCTTACAAATATTCATAGTCAAGTATTAATTATTGATTTTTAATTCCTAGTTGAAAAATCATTGATTATTGCTTAATAGATCGAGTTCAGAAGTCGTTTCGATTTTCCTCATTAAGCTTGTATTATTCTGCTAACTCGTTCATAAAGATACGACATACGAAACATATTTCAATAAATATGAAAAGTTTAAAAAATGTATACCAATAGTTATATATAATTCGTTTACCAAAAGATAAAATTTAATAATAATAGTAAAAGTACCATGTGCAAAAATCAAATTTATTTTGAAAATAATATCAAACGTTCAAAAATGAATTTATAAATTTTTTGTATGCTACATTTATTTTTATATAACGTCCTTCCGTTAGAGCGTTTTGTCCGTTCATATTCCAAAGCTAATTAAACGTGCGTTCAAATATTATAACATAATTTCTGGGATTTTTCTTTCAAGAATAAATTAAAACGGAAATCGGTTCAAAAATATTCCATATAATTTTAAATAATCGATAAAAAAAATCAATAAATAAAATAATAAACAAATAATCAAGAACAAAAGCTTTTTATTTTTAGTTATTTTACCAGCTACATGTACTTGATTTTTGTTAAAGTATATGATACATTTTATTTTTTTCAAAATGCATTCGGCACTGATAACTGGTTTCAGAAAAAAAAAAAATACGTAAATATTGATTTGATATTGGAATTAGGTTATTGGTAGACGGTGGAAAGTGATATACAAAATGGTGGATATTGACCAATGCTATGATCATTACTTTAATTTTTTCTATTTTAAATCGTAGATTAAATGAAATAATCTTTTCAAATTTTATTTAACCATAATTAAATAATAAAATAAACAAAATTAAGATGATAAAATAATTCATGAATTAAGTTAACAGTCTTTTGTTATAGTCTTCTTTGTTTTTGTTTCTGTCGCCAAAGTTGACTTGTCGCCATCTGTCCAAGTTATATTTATTTATGGGTACCAATTAGGGCTGTGTGTCAGGTACCAGTACTGTTCCCTAAAACATCTGTCAAACAGATTTACAAGTCCCGTTTTGTCTTAGATATAACGAATATTTATAAATATTTAATTTTTATTAAAAAAATACAATCAGTACTGAACCAAATAATGAAACTATGCAATGGTATGTTCATTCAGAAGGTGTAATATAAATAGGATGGGATAAAATAATGTATTTTATAATAATAACTATATATATCGAGAAAACCAACTGTTTAAATAAATATAGTAAATTAGCCTATAAAAAAAAGAAAGGGTAAATTTAATTTAAGAACAGATAATATGTATATAACTAACGAACTATGGAGTTGTAAACCTATCTAGTTACGTTTGAATTGCAATATCATTAATTGTAGTGTTGTCCAAATGCGAGACCAAGACGAGTCTTGGTCTTGCGCAAGAGTCTCGCAACAATCTTGCAGTTGCCTATTAGCTCATTACTATAGTGATATTACTATAATTTTTTAGATAGGAGAAATCTAACTAAGCCCTAATGAAAAATTAGTAGAGTTAAACTCAAAAGTATATTGTTTATACAAATTCTTTACATACAGTAACTTAAATTGTCAAGTATTAGTAAATATTTTGCCTTAATTTTTATTTAAAAAATTGATTTTTTTTCTTTACCAGTAGTGGTCTAGGTCTTGGTCTCGCAAAGTGCAAGACCAAGACCGATTTCGGGCAACACTAATTAATTGTAATAAATCGCAAGCTGGAATTTAAAAGCCACCCCATTTCCGAAAGACCACCTGCAATAGAAGCCTCTCGTTCAGGTAGGGAGAAAGGGTTTCTTTCTCGTGGGAACCGTTTCTAGGGGGTCTTTGTTTTTGTATCTACATCTTGCCTTTTTTCAAGTATGTTTATATATATATATATATATATATATATATATATATATATATATATATATATATGTATATTTACCAAAACAGTATTTACTCTGGAAGAAACTATATTAAATAATGTTTATGTGGTCCATGAAGGCTGTCAAAATAATAATAATAACGGCTTTTAAAGAAAAATTTTTATTATATTTTTTGTATATTTCTATTGTGTCTGCATGCCAGATTGATGTATATATTTCTTGAACTCTGTTATTATTCTTATGCCAAGAATAAAATTATTTTTCATTTCACTTCACATTTTACAGTGAATGTACTAACTTAACACTTATTCTTATAAAAAATATTGTGATGCATCTATCAGTATAGGACTTCAGTGCGAGTATTGGGCCGACGAAAGCATAAAAAAATGTATTTAATTTATAAAATATTAAAACAAAAATATTATTTTTTTTTAGTTTTATTAACTTTTCAAGTTTTAATAATAAAGCAGTTTCATAAAATCGATATATTTTTTTCTGTAATGTTTGAGAGAGAAAATTAAAACAATATATATTCTTAAAAATTATAATCTCTATAGAATAAATATATGAATTAATTTTTAATCAAAACATTTGATGATTTTTTTTTTTTTGTGGAATATGAAGTGTAAAAAAAATCCGTGATAAAACATCCAAATTTTAAGAGAAAATGTTTAATTATTCAAGTTTTTTGTGAGTTCTCTACCTTCTTTTAAAAAAATATTTTCATTTTTATAACTATCTACATTTTTTATTTACTTGTCTTTTCTTACTTGCCCCCATTTTGAAACGTTTTGAGAAGTTTTAATCCGCATCTGTTAGAAATTTTTTCTTATTGATCTACAATGGTCATTTAAGTATCTGTGAAGTGTGCGAAAACATGTCTTATGATAATTGAAGGAGTGGAGTATTGACTTTCCTACCGAGGGCACGAATTCGTAAAAGTCAACTTCGATCTCCGGCTATGGGATCTTTGCAGGATACCGCCTGTCACCGGAACAGTAACCGGTAAGGGACAATTAGTATTAAATAACCGCTTGGGTAAGAGGGCCAGGTAGGGAGGAAGTAATTATGCTTATAGTAACGGTCGTTCTCACACCCCCCACTACCCCACTACACGTTACTATTGTCATCAATGGGCCCTAGCACTACTACGGTTGAGGGCTCTTCGTCTTCATCGCTTTGTCTACGATAACGGCTCAATAGTTCATTCGTAACAATATTTGTCCCGTACATTTTTAAAACGGAGTGAGCTGTTATCAGTGCGATCCCGACTTCGATATATGTGGAGATCTTGATGGAGGTTGGTGTTAACACGTCACAATTTTTTTTTTTTTTTTCAAAAAATCCTTTTATTCTAATACGTAAACATAATTCTTATTAATTTAAAAACAGATCAGTTCGGTAATCCTACAATGCGGACAGTGATAACTTATATCTCAAAGTCTTAATATTCGAAAATTGCTATTGAAAATTTTTATTTGGGGGAGAGAAGGAAGAGAAAGGGTACAGAATGATAATAAATGAATGAAAGAAATAGTAAAAATAAAAAAAAAGGAAAAAAAAAAAAAAAGGAGAACAAAAGGAAAAACAATAAATAATAATGATATATATATATATATATATATATATATATATATATATATATATATATATATATATATAGATATATAAAATATTGTATACTTTGCTCATACATATTGTTAATCCTATATAATTGTATAATAATTTTAAATAATGTCTGTAGTGATTAATAAGTATGCTGTGTTGTTAGCAACCCAATGTAATTGGGCAGCACTATTTTATTTTATGATAATAAAGTGATTCTCTCTCTCTTATCATATTTTCATTTTGCACTCCATTGTGATAGTTTTTAAATATATTATTCTGTAATACGCGTTTTAATCTTAATCGTATGGTTTTAAATATAAAGTATTTATTATGAAAATGTTCAATAACAAAAAAAAAAATATATTCATAATATTTAAAATTAATAAATAATTCTTAAAATATATAAAATCTTTAAATTTCGTTAGAAATTTCTTCATATTCCCTCGACGTGTGAGAAAATATTGTAACTGCAAATCATACGAATTTATAGGAGTGGCAAAATAGAATTATTACTGTATAAATAATATATATTTTTTAAATTATTTGTCCCAGTTTTGAATTCATCTATTCATTAAAATTTTACTTATATTATACCATTACTTCGATTCGATGAAATATTTCTTTATGATAATTTAAGGGTGATAAAACAATTTTTCCAAAATTTTACAGTTGGTTCGTTACACAGGATATGTGGTTAACGACCATATTAATATTTTAACCAACATTTATAATTCAAATTATTTTTGAGATGGGCATTTTACAATAAGTATTTATAACCTAGGTAAGCAATTAGTGATATAGATGTGATTAGAACTCGAGGTAAAGGAGTGGTCGTTTAAAAAATATATATATATCAAAAAAATAAATTACAAAATAAATTATGTTATAGATAAAACTTTTAAAAAATGAATACATATTATTATTGTTTAATTAAATGATTTTTTTTTAATTCAAAACTGAACGTTTATTTCATGTTATATCTTATCCTTGCTTCTTGTTTACTATTTCTTTATAACCATCTTTAAAAAAATAAAACACTAACCATGTTCTGGACCACATTGTTATTCCACTTAAGCTATAATCGCATCGCAACTAATCGACTGTTAAATCCGGACCAGTACTCAGACATGCTATGTGCTCAAAAATCCTATCACACCTGCCATGCGGATAAAATCGATACGTAAAAGTGGCTAGGGTTGATGAAAGCATTATACTCAGATCGATATCCTACAATCAACAAGCTACTTGTTGAACTTAGCAACAGGTCTTGGAGTCTCCCCGGTTCCATTGCAGACTTGTTGCATACCCCACATCAACACCCAACGCCCCACCTTTTGTTAGCACACACTGTATATCAAGCATGTAAATACAAAAAAAAAAAAAAAAAAAAACATCGATTAAAATTTAATTTTTAGTTTTAGAAAATTCGTAAATAAATTCAATCGTTTTTTAACTCTATGAACCCAAAACTTAAAATCGTAATATTTTTATTATATATTCCGTAAGTCGAGCAAATTACACAAGAGAAAAAGTATTCAAACATTTAGACCAAAAATATTTAAATTAAATTAAACTTAAAATTTTCTTCTTGAGTTATTCAGTATCTACAGATATTATTTGTTTATTTTAAAAAATGAAATATTGTATTTTTTTAAAACTTATATAACAGTCACAAATACTATATAACTTAGGTAAACATAATATGTAATTTACACAAATATGCGTTCTTATATTTTTACTTATTTAATTAGTAAGTACCGTAATAAACTGACTGGTTGAAATGATTTCTATTCGTGGTAATTAATTAATAACTAATTGTATTAAATAAGAAATTAAATATATATAATTTTTTGTCCATAGAGCAACAAGCCTATAATGGAAAAGAGGAGGAGGGCCAGGATAAACCAATGTTTGGACGAGTTGAAATCACTCATCCTGGAAGCGATGAAGAAAGACGTGAGTATTTTCTCTCATCATATTCAACTATATTAGCAATCATAAATAATTGCAATTTCAATAAAAAAGGGGCTCAAGGACATGATCCATTTTGTTTAGTTTTCGACAAAATTCATTTTGATCAGGACAAAAAAATTGGATTAAATTCATTTTTCAGTGAACTGACTTCGTTGCTATGAAAATAATCGATACAAGCAAAAACATCGCATACTTATATTTCTTGTTAGAAATAATTTAAAATTACGGTGTAAAATGAATTTTGTCTTTAAATGGACAAAATGTATTTTGATCTGAAGCTCCTGAAAATAACAATAATTATTAGGGAATCGAAAGTAATTCAGAAGTAGGATCAGGGAAATGTCTTGTCAGTTTTAAATTGAAAAACTATTAGTTAATCCGAATTTCAAATCCGTTGTCCAACTTACTCAGCCTAGTTAGCAGTTAATGAATTGATAAGGTGGTTACCTAAAGCAACAATACAAATTTCGATTGGTCCATCTATTTTTTCTAAAAATAATCCAGTTCATAAAAATTAGCTCGTCCAATAGGATCGGACTTCTCGATTTATTTAACTGGATTATATTAGGAAAGATAGATCCCGGATCCTTGGAGGAACAGGATACGGTGTGTTGATGAAGAGTAATAAAGAACAGGTATTAGGTTGTGGTTGCTCTAATGGATTAAAATGGTCAGCGGGCTACCGTGAGAACGGAGCGCAACATATGCCGAGCAGGCGGACCGTATCTGATAGCCGCTCCACCGCCTTCAGCATCACTGGTCCTTCTAATTGCTCGTCCATATGGATATCGTGGTCGTGGGAGCTCTTTCTCCCTTATTTTTAATTTATTATCTATGTATCAATCCTATTAGGAACAATACACACACACACATATATATACATGATTTCATGACCTATTATCCGATTATAATTCATATCTTAAGTTATATATATATATATATATATATATATATATATATATATATATATATATATATATATATATATGTGTGTTTTTATGTTAATAGTTTCATTGCGAACATTGGTAACGGGAACAGGATTAAAAGGGAAGGAATCGTTATTTTTGTTTTACTAACTTCATATGTACCACTATAAGCCTTGAAGATTCTTGGCTTTAGTCATTTTTAAGAGGTATTGCTTCTTGAAGGAAGTGGTGATGTTTTACCACTATTGATACCCTCACCCAACGAGATCCTTGAGTGACCTCAGATTGGGTTCTTTTTTTTTCTTTTTTTTTTTTTTACTAACTTCATATGTACCACTATAAGCCTTGAAGATTCTTGGCTTTAGTCATTTTTAAGAGTCATTTTTTTTTTTTTTTTTTTTTTTTTTTTGTTCTTTCCTACCTCGCCTTTTAGGCTATACGGGATTTTCCCGGGCCGGAGAGTGAGGGCGGGGAATTTTAAAATCCCCTCCGGCACCGGGACGCGAACTCGTACTTTTTATATCATCTCAAAACTCTGTTATCCGGTTGCCAGGCAACTAGCGGTGCTGTTACACACGCTTTAGCCTATTCGGCCACCCCGCCCCCTCTCAGATTGGGTTCTGGAATGATATAGAATGAACCCCTTTTTTTCTCTTCTGCAGACCCGTCGGGAACTGTGTTCAACACAGTGTTCTATCCACTCTTTCCCTTTGTTTGGTCACGGTAATTTGACGTGAGCCGTTGGATGTTGCGATGGTTATTGTAAGATTTGGTGTGGACTGTACGAGGTTGAAACACTGAAATTTAATATGTGTACAAATTATGTGCTTTAATACAAATAAAAGAAATACAATCTGTGCACTTGTACCATTTTGTTGTTCCTGAAAAATGAAATAAATATTCCTGATAGTGAAATTACAATTTTTTAGTACGGCATTACGATGTTGGAAGTGATTTTGCTTCACACTTAAAACTGTATGGTTAATTTGGACTCACTTGGTGCCTGAAATTGAGCCTCATTTCCTGGCCTTCTCTTTTTTATCTCCATATTTCCTCCACTAGGCTGTTCCCTTGGGATTTAGCAACTCATTTCTTTTCTGTTATAATAAAATGAGAGTGTGCACACTTTAACAATGACTGGGGTTAAGTCGGAATTATACAGAACTGTTTTCTTTTTTCTTTTCTGTTTCAGTGGTTGATCGCTGAACACCCTTTTTCTTTTAGTTTTCTAGTTAAAATCTCGATTTGATTTACATACATTTGTGCCGGTACTATCTTATTGATTAATGCCTATGTTTCTTTTAAAACCCCTGAACCAGAACATAGTGATATGCTGGCATAGGAGTACAGGAGTGCCAATCCACCCTCAAGGTCGATGGAGTATGAACCTCCACCTCCTCCCCGCTTCCAAGATATTTTATTACTCTCCTCTACAGCAACAAAAACAGTGCAAGCGAAGGTAGAATATAAAAAATCGCAGATTATATACGATTACACTTTCTTCGGTTGGTTTCATGTTTTCCATTTATTCTCTGATTTGAAACTTTTCATTCCGAAAATTCATAACCCCATCGATATGTGCCTCCCCTCATAAAATTTGATTGCGCAACGAAACCCAGAAGACGGTACACCCGTGTAGCACATTTTATTTATAAACTATTATAATGTCCTTAAGGAATACTGTATATTTCAAAGAAATGTGTTTACAGAAAATTAATTACATCAGCGGTGGCATATCTGACTTACATTTTTTGTTACAGCCGGCACGACACGCCAAATTGGAGAAGGCCGACATCCTGGAAATGACGGTGAAGCACCTCCAAGACCTGCAACGCCATCAGATGAGATCCGCGGTGTCAGCAGACCCTTCAGTCATCTCCAAGTTCCATTCTGGCTTCAACGAGTGCGCCACAGAGGTCTCGCGCTACGTGTCGACGATTGACGGCGTGGATGACGGAGTGCGGCGACGACTGCTCGGCCACCTGACAGGCTGCCTGAGCGGTCTCAACCAGGTGATCCCGTTGGCTTCGGCCCGGCTGCCCGGGGACGTCAACAACAACGGACACCGCTCCGCCTTCGTAGCCGTGTCGCGGCACAGCCCGCCCGCCTCCCCGGGGTCCGAACTGTCGGTCCAGGTCCCGGAACCTCTGCCCAGTCCGAGTCCTCTCGTCCCTGGCCTGCTCATGCAGGTACCAAGGCCTTCCACCTCCACCGGCGCTGATATGTGGAGGCCTTGGTAGGATAAGCAGTTGTATAGATAGGAAGGAGAGAGTGTTTATAATTAAATTCAACATGTGATTTTTTATATAGTATTGGACAGGATTCAATGGTCTGTTGTTATTGATAAGATAAGTGTTATTTTATATTTATTAAGTTTTCAACAATACTAGGATATTATCGGGGTAAATACTGTTCGTTTGAACAATATCACCCACCAGATTTTTTCCCTTAATCAATTATTTAATTAAGGATACCCACTTTATGGAGGCTGGGTACCCCAGGAGGGTCTCCTCACCCTCGTTCAACAGCTGATGTAACGGAATAATTAATATATCTGTCATAATTCAAACCTGGGAACTTGAGCATTGGAACTCAGTGCTCTACCACTGAGCCACCCCACTCACCACTCTATGTAAAACATCAACTGAATTTTTCATTCATAGAGACACTGATATGACAAGTTAGACATTTAAAAATTATATGTAAAAGACAAAGAAATTAATTATTTATTTTAACATTATAATAAATATATCTTATAAGAAGCAAAATGATTCAACTAAATTTTACAAACATCAAATTAAATATACTGTCAACTTTTATTCACTATCAACACTTAATCTAGTTTGGGAACATAAACTAAGTTAGCGTGTAAGTTATAGTTATGTAGTTTTAGCTTAGACAACTTGTGACCATGTTCTATTTTAAATGATTACCAAAAACTAAATAAGTCTGAGAGATTGATATAATTTGTGTATTGAAAATATGTTTTATTTAACATAAATAAGTAGTATAGTACTTAATTCCGAACATTTAATGATTAAATGAAAATTTAACACACTAAAAGCAGTTTTTAGAAACAAAATTGTTCCTTTTTAAATGTTATTTCAGAGATACATTGTTTGTATTTTTAAAATTTGTTATGCTAATGAATAAGTTAATTAAAAAACAAACCAGTTATGTGTTAACTGCAGTGTGTTATGAAACAAAATTTGAGGTAGCTCAATAGAAAATAATAAAAAAATACATGTTTGTAAATTTAAGTAAATTGATTTTTTTTTTTTAATTGCAAAATTGTATTGGTCTCATGATTATAAGAATATCATTGATTCAATATTCTACTTATAAATAACGATTGTTTTCTCATGATGCAACTTCTTAATAAATGAAGTACTGAATTGAAAAACATGGTATCTGACATTTTGTTAAATTGAAGTTTGTACAAAAAATGGACCCATCATTAAGGCTACCTTCATAGGTTGTTGACACATTAGGTAGGAAATTTGTTTCTTAAAGGGTAATGTTTGTATTAACATGTAAAAAGTTTTTGTAGTAAGATATGGTTAATGCCTGTTGATTGAAGATACAGCATTGTAACAAACAAACAATTTAACATTGTAGAATTTTTTATTTTTTCAGTTACCATGTTTTATGAAATAGTGCCCCAATTAATGTAGTATTTCATAAATACAAACTGATATCATCGGGGTGCCATATTTTATTGATGAACATATGGTGAACAAGATTAATGTCATCACAAATTTTCCCCAGATATTATTAGCAATTACTAATATTTTTTAGTATCAATATATCAATTAATTCTATTTTAGTATACTAAAAATAGAACACTAAACAAATTGTATGAATAGCTAAACATAAAACGTTTATGTGAAATTTACCAAAATATTTTATTTGTATAGGTCACATAATTAGACACAGTACAAATGTATATAAATATGTTATTATTTTTTTAAGTTTTCAAATATATTATATACTGTAAATAACACTGTAAATATAAAGTAGATTGTTGATATAAATTAGTTATTTTAATATTTAATGCTCCTGTGATTATTGATTGCTCTTTCATTGTATTTTGTCAAAGAATAAAAATGCTTTAATTCAAATCTCTATTCCACTATTCTTATATAACCTGAACTGAAATACCTTGATTTGTAAGGTAATTATTTTCCTTTTTTTTTTAAATAGATGTAAATAAAAATATATAACTGCACTGTTTGATAATTATGGTATTGTTGTGGTTGGGTAGACAGCAACACATATTCTTTCACATAATATTTCGTTTTTTAAGAAACTGTTTTAATAAGGCTTGAAATCATTGAGCATAGTGTGATGATTGGAATTTTCTTAACCCAAAATTCTTAGGAATTGGGTGCTTGTGCCTCTTTGCATCGCTTTTAGTCGGATATCAATCACTAATTACTTACTTACTGCTGGGCGCTATGCTCCTACAAGGACCTGGGCCTTCTCAAGTATTTCAAGCCAGTCATTCCTGTCTCTCACTCGCGTCCTTCATCTTCTTACTCCGAGCAATTCGAGTCCTCTTCAACGCCATCCAACCATTCTTGGTCTTCCTCTGTATCGCTTCCCTCCAATTTTTCCAAATAGCATCCATCTTGGAATTCTATTCCCTGTCATCCTTTCCACGTGTCCGAGCCATCTCAGACTGGTTTTTTTCACAAATGGTACCAGGTCTGGTTTGCCATACATTGCACGGAGCAATGTATGGCATCGTAATTGTTTCTTAACTGCCACATGCCACTTTCTCTTATTGGCCCATATATCCTTCGGAGAATTTTTCTTTCCCAGACATTGAGCTTCCTTTCACTTTCACAGGTCAAAACCCATGATTCTTTGCCATATGTAACTATGATTGGGTTTCAGTATGGTTTCATAAATCATGAGTTTTGCTTTTTTGGAAAGAGCTTTAAACTTTAATGTTCTTTGTATGGAAAGATGGCACTTGTTACCTGCAGCCAGCCTGACATTCACTTCTTCTTTCATGCTGTTATCATGTGTAATGACTGCACTCAGGTACTTAAACGTGCTTGCACTTTTAAAACTGTGATCGCCAATCTGCAGATTGCGGTATTCCAGTTGTTGGTGTCTAGAAGTTTTTAAATATTTTGTTTTTCCTTCTTTTACAAGAAGGCCCATTTCTGTTGCTTCCCTTTCAAGCTCCTCCTAGTGCTGCAGTACTTCTTGCCATAATGAGCACATCATGCTGTGTGAGCCGATCATAAATTGTTCCATTAGGGTTGGTTCGTATTGCCCTAATAGCTTTTTCCAATGCTAAATAGAAAAGGACAGGTGATAGTGGGTCTCCCTGCCTCAGGCTACTATTTACTGCGAATTCTTCTGATAGCATTCCCTATATTTTTATCTTCATCCTGCTATCGTGCAGTATAATTTTTGCTAGCCTAGTGAGCTTCCTCGGAATTCCCAATTCAAGCATTATCTTCAGTAATTCTTCTCTATCAATATTGTCGTATGTCTGCTTAAAATCGATAAACAAATTATGGAGTTGAACGAGAAATTCATATTCCCTTTCAAGAATTTGTCTTAATGAGAATATTTGATAATGGATTGATCTTCCAGACCTGAAACCACACTGATAGTTGCCCAATATCTGTTCAGAAAACTTTATCAGCCGTCGGTTCAATAATACAGAGAATACCTTCTAGTCTGTATTCAGTAGTGCTATGCCTTGATAATTACCACAATATAGTTTGTCGCCTTTTTTATGAATGGGGCATATCGTTGCTATTTTCCACTCTTCAGACATTCTCTCTTCAAACCAACCATCCCACACCAATTGGAATTTATGTCTTTTTAAATCATCCTCTCCATTTTTGAATGTATGCCATCAATACCAGGAGCCTTATTGTTCCTTAATTCGCCAATGATTTCTTCAACTTCTTCCTGTTCAGGCGGCTCTGCTTCTTGATCTCCTTCTCCGTGTAAACCTAGTCGGCATTTCAGCAGCTTAATTCTTTCCTCTCCATCTTGGTGCTTGGTTTCTACAAGAATTTCTCTGAAATATTCAGACCATCTCTGCAATATTTTAGCAGGCTCACATATTATAGCCCTCTCTTTTGTCTTGCAGTACGAGATATTTGGTTGGAAGCCTCTTTTTATTTCCTTGATGCCTTTATAAAACTCCCTTGTGTTATTTGAGCTGTGATCATTCTGGAGCTCCTCCAACTGCATATTTAGCCACGTACTTTTTTTCTGACAAAAGATTTTTTTGGCATTCTTCCTCCTGGTAGAGTACTCATCTCGGCTTGCTCTAGTCACTCTTTGTAGCATTTTCATTCGCGCATCTTTCTTTGCTGTCAGGGCTTGATGACATTCCACATCAAAAAACCATACTTGTGCTGTCAACTACTAATACTATATTATTATTAATTTACAGAAAAGAACTATTAAAGTTAAAGACTACTCAAAAGTTTCAAGATCTTTATGGTCAATAAAATTACTTATATTAAGACAAAGGTTCCTTTCAAAGTTATCTAAAAGGAAAAACATCCAACCATCACATTTCCATAAATAAATTTAGTCATACAAATTTTTTTTTTAATATAAATTTTTTTAATTAAAAATAAATGCTGTATTTACATCCTAATCAATCATTTTATATACGTTGCCTGAGGCCATCCCGGTCACATTTTGTCTTAAACCCTCTCACTGACGGCGATGCCTTAATTCCATATGCCTGATAAACATTCTGTCTCACCCTCAATCTTATCACATATAGGCAACGAGAGAACTAGGTACCTGATCCTGGCACAAAAGGATCCTACATAGTCTTCACTATAATAGATCTTCAACAGTCCCTGGCTAAGGGAACGCAGGATGCGTCACGCTGACTTCGGGAACAATGAGCTGTCAGGCACATGTAACCAGATAAGGGATTGAATCTACAGGCATGAGACCGGCCCTCTTTCATTATTGTATGATATAATTAATTAATTAAACTATCACAATTAATAAAAAATATCCCATCAGGGATAAATGCTTATAACAATAAACAGGATTAACTGCGTTAAAGGACTACTTAATTCACAAAATATTCCTGAACCTACACAAGAAAATGGCTCTCATGTACCTGAAAAGGGACTCCCCATTATTGGACAATAAATGACAACTTTTCTTTTGCGCTAACTCTTTAAACCATTTATTCTATTATTTTTCTCCTGTCTTATAATGTATTTTATTTTTCATATGTCGTAATATAAGAAGAAAGTAAATTTTGTTCTGGGACATTTAGAATAACAAACATGAACAATGACAATTACATTATAACAAGGTTACAAAATAATTTAGGCATTAGTATTTTCAATTAATAAAGTAATTTGTTATAAAACTATCAAACTTTTTGCCAATTCATGCATCTTCAGGGTACAATCTGGTTTTAAACCATTGTGTCAATGTTCATCTACAAAAATATATGTTTTAAAAATCTCTCAGAAGACTTACTGGTATACATTGGACCATTGATAAATTCAATAAAAGCATTAAAAAATAATTATAACAAGCCATAAATAAATAGATGAAATAGAAATCTATTTCTGTATGGCGGTGACCAGCCTTCCACATCTAGTCCCATACACACAAAATAACACCAATCCTTCCAGGGGAGAGGTGTTACTATCATTGAAATATTAAATAAATATAAAATATTAAAAAAAAAAATGTTATAAAAAGTATTATGTTTTATTTTATGTTATTATTTTTACAAATTATTCCATTATATTAATTATTGATGCTCTATTTTACTGTTTGATTAAAAAAAATATTAAATTTAAAACTATGTAACCGTAAACCTTGTTTTGCAGGTGTGTATATTAGGAATTAACCAACAGACTTCCATAAACATTATTATTGATTCAAGGTTTTAATTGTTTCACAAAAGAAATTGTTCAAATTTCCAGAATTCATTTTAAAATTTATAAAGCTAATGAGGTTTTCAGAAAGAAATAGTGTTTCTAGTTATTTTTAATGCATATCATTACAGTCACAGGATTGTAGAAAATTGTTTTTGAATTTGTAGCCAGGACTTATCTGTCCTCTTCAAGTTGGGCCATTAACAAAGATCAGTTGTATGGTATTAAAAGGTATAGATAAAAATATCTGTAGAAGTATCAAGAGCACTATCAGGCTCCCAGCTAGTACCTTTAGGGCAATGTGCACACCGAGGAGGTTTCAAGGATTGAGACTGATCCGCTTTCAATGGGAGGTTCCTTGGTAGTATTAGCCCATTGCCTAGCGACTGCCTAATGAACTGGATGCTCTGTTCCAGTCTAGGTTTAATTTTACAAGTGAAATAGGAGAGGCGGTAAGGTGGGCAAGTGGGCTGATGCGTGTGCACAGCACCGTGCGTTGCCGACAACTTGATAGCCTAAGTTAAATGGAAAAATATCACAAGGTCGAATCCTGGTACCCGGTGGGAATTTCAACTCAGCATAATTCTCCCGACCCCTCTCAAGGACCGGGAAAAAACCCATGTAGCCTAAAAGGTAAGGAAAGGGAGAACAGAAAAAAAAAGTGAAATAAGAGAGGAGTAGGGTGGCCCAGCGGGCTAACATGTAATGCAAAGCATCAGTGAGTTACCCGGCAATCTGATTTTACATAGTTTAAAATTTAACATAGAACAACAATTACGAATTCAAATCAAGCTGGGATTTTTAACTTGTCCTAGTTTCTCCGCCCCAGGAAAATCACGTCTAGCCCAAAAGTCAAGGAAGGAAAGACAAAAAAAAAATGTGAAATAGGAGCGGGCTAACGCTTGAACACAACACAGTGCATTGCCCGCCAACCTGATAACCGGAGTTACAAATGAAAAAATAGTTACGAGTTCGTGTCCCGGAGCTGGAGAGTCTTTTAACTATGGTATTAATCTCCCGCTCCACCCCGTATAGCCTAAAAGGCAAGGAAGGGAAGAACAACAAAAAAAAGCGAAATAGGGGTGGGGAGGCTGAGCGGGCTAAGGCGTGAGTAAAACTCGCATTGCTCAGCAACCATATAAACCAAAGTTAATGACGAGTTTGAGTTCTGGTGGCGGGGATGGAAGGGGAGCTTTTAACTCTGGTATTAATTCCCTGGCCCGGGAAAAAGCCCATATAGACTAAAAGGCGAGGAAGGGGAGAAAAGAAAAAGGCAAATAGCAATAGTAATGGGATGGATAAGAATGATAGAATGATTAAAATAAGCAAAAAGATAAAAACAAAAATGTATGTGTAATATATTGAGTCTGTATTATAAGAATTGATAAGTATGTTGTGTTATGTCGCAACCCATATTGCTCAGAAAGCATTTCTCTATCTCTTAATTATTAAAGAATTAGCAACAGAAAGATTTGATAAATTTTTTTTAAAAACATGTAATGTGTCAAACAATTTGGAACATTTTTTTTAAATTAATCAAACGATCCCTTAAAGGGAATACTAAGATAATGGAGGAGGAGAAAATAAAGAAAAAATAATCAATTTATAATTTCAATATATTCACAATAACAAGATATCACCTTTATAAAATTTTTACACAAGAAATAATTCTTTTAAAGCGTGAAGGATAAACATATGTATAAGAAATATAATTGGTTTATGTGTAGTAAAATATATTTATATAATAGCGATTTCAAACAACCACCACAACAAGCATTGAGAAGAAATGATCAAAATATACAAGTACATTTTTTTTTTTCTTTTTCCAATTTTTCATTTTACTATTTTCATTTTATGAAAAATACGATACAGGATTTTCCTGAACATTGAAATCTTATACACCTATCTCACATTTTATGGTAATAATAAACATAAATAAAACAAATATAGACTATGCAAAGATAAATAAAAACTTAAATTATTGCATATCCGCCATAAAAAGAAAAACTCAAAACATCTAATTGTATCACCTAAAATAAAGCTTGCCATGTTAATAAGATAAAATATAAGGAATTTATAAATATAAACATAAAGTTAATCAAAATCACAGGTGAATAATTTTTAAAGTCAAGAGCAAGCTGTGCATGTGGTCTTTAGGTCATTATGACCTCTTAGTTTTGGTACAAAGGAACTACGCACAAACATATAAAAAAATTTCTAATATTTCAAAATTTCTTTTTCCACCTTAGACAATATATTATATACAAATTATTTACAATTACTTATAATTTTTACAAAGACACAGGATTCATTTTCAAAAAAAAAAACTCCACACATATACATATTTATATTAAATGTTGAAAATATATAAGAGCTCCCTTATGTTATATATGTACCAATATATATATATATATAAATAATCATCACAGACGACATTTGAGAGCTTCATTGGACAGCTCGACTGGTGTCATCGGTTACATTTAGAAAGCACATCATACAACATTGGAATATCGTCTATATTAGTTTATACCCAGATATCTTAATTTATATACACAGTTTTACATTAACAATATATAGTTTATTTATTTGATGAGATCACTTACGAGGTTCCCTTCGAACACCGTCTTTATAAATAAATGTTTCTTCAACATGTCTTATGAGACCTTAAACAACATATCTTCAACAATTAAATATACACTGAAAATAATGAGTAGTCTAACATAACACATAAAAATCAAAATTTGTCTTGAATTATTAAAAAACATATATCTACATCGGAGTGTTACCTCTGAGTAATTTCTCCAAGTATTATTTTCATTTTATACATATTTTATTCAATATATTTACTTTTAGTATTGTAATTACAGTTGTAAATTTCAATAATAAAAACTAAACAAAATTTAAATATATAACAAAAACATCTTAGAAAAAACACAACATAATAATATATAAATCAGGTAAATTTAAAATATATTTTGCTTAGTTCATAGGCTAAAAAACATTTTAAAAAAAAATACTGACGTTTCTTCTTGTATTTAAATTAAAGACATTTGAAAAAACATTTGCACATGATGGTAACCATACAACCTGCCTTATAGTCTCCAGTATCGGCGGATTGTGGCAGAGGCGATGGACTAGAAGAGAGAATTGCTAGCCGATTGCTATAGTCGTGGCGCAGCCCACACTACCACCTGCTGACCGCTGGACACTAGATCGGGAGAGCTGGTCCTCCTCTCCTCCTCCGCGGCCTCCCGCTCCCTGTTGTCCAACCAAGTTGTCTTGTCAAAGTCCTTCGTACCACCCACGGTGTGTCGCCGCTTGATAGAACGCTCGCTTCCACCACCAGTCTTGCGTTTCATCTTTGACTTGGCCCCTGTTTCCAATACCTGCTTCCTACGCATCTGGTTCAAGTCTGTTTTCTCAGTCTTTGTCAGTGAATCTGACCTCTTCAATCCTCCACTTCGACCCTCTTTCTTGTTCAGCGACTCTGCACGACGCAGCAATTTCACAGGTGCTTCTTTTTTCTCTTCTCTTTGCTTGAATGATTCAGACCTTTTTAGGCGAAAAATACAATTTTCCTTTTCATCATCTTTTTCAACTTCATCCTTATCCCTTTTCTCTTCTTCTTTTTCCTTTTCTTCATTTTCAGTTCCCTCTTTGCTGCTGTCGATGTGGGTTTCCAAAACTTTCATCTAAAACAATTTTTAAAAATAATCATTATATATTATACAAATGATTTATCAATTATCAAGTTTTTACTTTCTGTAGGACATACTTTTTGTTACAAACGGGCCTAAATTTTGACTTTACACATTTTTTCAAAATAAGTTATTGTGATAAAGATGTTAATAATATCATATAAAACCCACCATTAGGAAATATATTTGTCATATTGTATATATGTCTTACTGTATTGCAGTCTGTTTATATTATAAATATGTTTAATATATTTTCATTTCAAGTAAATCAATGTTCTCTACTTCAGTTCAATTTAACAACTTTAGTTCTAGTTAAATAATTGCTCAGTGCTCGTATAGCCATCTGATTGTCAGTAAAGATAGAGATCTTCTGCCCCACCTAATCCATCAAGCAACAGCTTTGATGCACAGTAAGATATCACCAGTATCTCAGATTGGAATACTGTTGCATATTTGCCAAGTAGCAAAAAAATAAATAAATAATAATTAAAATATTTTTTATATTACATTAAGAACCTTGGAGTAGGGTTTATTATCAGAGAACATTATTGGTAATGTTAAAAAAAAATATATATGGACAATATACTAAGTGTCAATAAATTAGAAATAAACACATTTAGCTTATTAAAGAAATGAGTATAGATACCGAATACATTGTGTGAATTGGAAAATCAAAACAAATACTTTTTTTTTTCTTCAAATATTACTGTTTATCTACATACTGGACCAAACAAAAGTATAAAAATTGGAAACTCAGTTCCAAATCCTATAGGCAATAAATTAACTACAATATAAATGAAGGACAATTACTATATTGTACAGGTAAAAAAAAAACTTTTATCAATGTTACTAACGGGAAACAATTTAATACCTTCCTCATAATTGTTCAGTCTCGATTTCATACAAAAAAATAATATTTAACAGTATAGTTATTAAGTAAAATTATGATTGCGTTAAGTTAGCAATAACAAATCTTTTAATTAAGGCTAACCTCAAGGTTGGGCGATGTAAAGCTGCGATGTAGACTCGGGTCTCGGAACGACAGAGCAGTTGGAGGTTGAGGATCATTAGAAGGGCTGCTGGATAGCAAGCCGAGCGACTTCATCTTGGCATCGAATGTATCTGTCAGGGTGGAGACTAGGTCTGCCACAGCTACAACAATCAATAACATTATAAAATTTTATAAATGGGCTTCACACTTAAAAAAATTAAAAATTTCAAATTTAAATAATTTATTGAACATTATAAAATGCCTAAGAGAATTATTTTTACTTTTAAGTAAGTACCTCAGTAGTATATATAAAAAATATCCCAATAATAATCTTCACAAACATCAACTCAAATGAAAATCATATTATTAAAACACCAATGAATTTAGAAAATAAAATCTTGCATACTTTATTGGATGTAAATAAATTTATTCTTGAAGCATTTCAACCAAAGACAATACTACTAATGCTCAGCTGCCTGGTTTTTTCCCAACACTATCATAGATCAGGTCTCCAGTAAGTAATTTTGAGTCCCCATAGGGTCCTACAATCCCAGAGTTCATTCACAGTCAGAGTTGACTGTACAGGAAATTAATTACTAGCTATAGCGAGGATTCGAACCTGAGGCCCAAAAATTGTGAAAGCATATCCACTGACTGGGGCTTGCACCTAAAGAGCTGAGGTCACCAGGTTGCTTTAAGAAACGCATCATGGATTTCCAGCTTAGTAATGAAGAGTTAGAACTTGGGCAGATAGCTGCCTCTCAGAGAATGGCCTCTTAAGGCTTGCCATCCTATACTGTACATCCTAATTTAGAATTGGGATGCGTTTTCTCAGGATATTAAGAAGTAAGATTTGGTTCATAATCAGCATCAGGGAAGGATAGGTCTTAGGCTGTCTGTTGACCTAGATCTGACCCAAACATTTTACTAGGGACACTATCCAGACTATCGCTGCTACCCAAACCTGTAAAAGGACCACAGTATACAGTTCAAGATTTTTACATTTTGAAGAGCCAATTAAAAAACAAATACATAGCCCTTAGCTTTAACTAATTTCTTAGCCTCAATACCCAAACCTGTAAAAGGACCACATTATACAGTTCAAGATTTTTACATTTTGAAGAGCCAATTAAAAAACAAATACATAGCCCTTAGCCTCAACTAATTTGAAAAACTATTAAAAACTTAGATGTAACGTAATTTTTCAAATGCTTTCCATTAAGTTATTCAGATTTGAACAACTAATCTAAAATTCATAAAGTTGCCTTACCACCATGTTACAGGAAACACAACAAAATTATCATCAACACACAACAAAATTATCATCAACAGCGAGATATAAAATTCAATAAATAAGATGTTTAAACTATAGACATTTTCTTAAATTTGGAGTAAGGCCATTTTAACATTGATATCAAGTTTTCTATCGACATGAAAATAAATTTAAGCTTTATAATAATAGCAATTACAATAGTTCACTAAGCAATAATAAATATCAACAATTATATTAATTTAGTAAGTGACACAAAGGCTTTTATGATAAAACAGTTAGAATAAGATTAAATTTATTTAGGTTTTCTGAGATAAGTTAAAAAAAAAAAAACTCTTCTAATGTATTAATTAGTAAAGCAAAATATATACCACAGATTCATTAGTACAATTACATAAATAATTAGTTGCCTAATAAATTAGTTAATTATATACATTTCGGGAATAACAAAAGAAACTAAAGTGTACAGTGCATTTGGGACATGAAACTACTAAGGGTGGAACTAATTGTGATATCTTAGGGTATCTTATTTACGTTAAAAAATATAAAAATAATGAGGTACTAGGTACTATCTATTTTTAATAAACGATTGCTTCAACATTTCTTGAAATCATTGGCTTATAAAAATTCATGGAGTACACAAGCAATTACTATAATAGCTTATACAATTTTATTTAACGTTAAGATTGGTAAGGAACCTTTAAAACGGCAATATAAAAAATAAATCACAGGTAATGGAAATTGAATGAAAAAATTTATTCATTTAATATTTTGAAAACTTAATAGAAAATCATTCCTTACATTATTATGGATAATAATAAAAACCTAGTAATATTGAAAAGAACTGTACATATTACAAAACAAAATATCTTAGTCCCATCAAACGCAATGAATTTCCTGGCATATTCAAAAATCTCTAGCTAACTCAAATTTATCTATCGACATGAATCACAAAAATTTTAGGTCATGACAATTTTCAGCTGACAAGAACTTATTCTGGATACGAATATTTATTAAATATTGCTGAGGAGACTCCTAATAAGACCAAGTTTTCTAAATATGTCTCCATAAAAAATAAAGAAAATCGATCCAATTAAACTTTTTTTTAGAAATAAATGGAAAATATTAAAATACTGAGAAGTTCGTGCTCAGATAACTGTGACATAAATATTTTATTATTAATGTTCTGATATGAATCTAATCAACCATTATGAAATACAGTAAATTTTCAGTATTATGACTGAAGAATACTTCATATTCTCCAAGGTAAAAATAACGCCTCATTGAAGGAATATGATCCTATATAATTTTTTTATTTTATAAAGTAGGTAAAGTTACTTGTAAATACATATTCTGTCTTTACTTTTTTTAATATTGCATTTTTTTTTTCTTCTGATGTACATATTTCTAATAGTTATGTTATATGTTAAGGAACACTTTTATCTACTTAATAAGGAGAATAAACTTTCTCAGAATTATGAAGCTAACTGCACAAACGGGCTCTCCTTTTATTATTAGTCCTTGAAAGATGTATAAATAAGGATAGGTCTTTAAGTTTGGGTCCCTAATGACTGCTCTAAGTATTTTCGATGTCTCTACAATCCAGTCGATTCTGCTCTCAACCTTGTTGATGTGTGAATGGTAGAGATTGTTTTCTCCAAATTATGGCCATCAGGAAACAATATGGTTTATCTCTTTTTGTTCCCCTCAGTATTTGTAGCTAAATGTTTAATGAAATTTAATTTTGGGGAAATACTATTGGTTTCATGAGATTTAAACAGTCAATTTCAAGAAAAATATTTTGCTGAGTTTTTATCTTGTATAGTAAAAAATATTTTAGTTATATATATATTGTAATGTACACCTTTATTGGAAGTGGGTAAAAATGATTTAATAAATTAATGTTGAACAATTAAAAGGCAAGCTAATCAAGTTCTACCAGTGCAGGGAAAAGAAAATGGCTGCTCTGTAGTTTCCCAAGAAGGAAAATCCCAAAAAGGAGAGGGACAAAGGTTTTTGTTTTGGCAAACAGTTGTTGTGTGACTGGAGTGTAAGAGAAGATATCCTATCCTGGCTCCAGTGGGTAAAACCCAGTAATAGTTTTACCATCTTAGAAGATCTTGTTTGGCAGGGAGAATAGTTGTTAGGAATTGCAAGAAAGAGGATTTCCCAGAGAGCTTTAGTTGAGTGGAAGAATAGTGTTACCATTTTGGGATTTGTGTTTGGCAGAACATAAGAAAATGTGTGAAGACAAATGAGTTCAGTGCAACAAAGGAAGAAACATTGTATGTAGAAAAAAGATTAGCTTGTCAATTCATATTTGACTTTATTTTTAAACCAGTGTTTAATTTTAATATAAATAGTGTAAATAAAAATAGTTTTTCTGCGTTGATCTGATTGTCAGTAACCCACACATGAGATAAATAAATATATTAATTCTCTTATAATTTTGTTTATTATTACACAACCTCTTATTTACTTAGGAAGTATCCCAATGGTAAGAAGTGAGCTTCCGAGGTTATATTATTATTATTATTTGTATAATATAAGAGAGATGTTACAATATATATATATATATATATATATATATATATATATATATATATATATATATATATATATATATATTTGTCTTCAATTCTTCATCCGCACCTGTCATGGTAATGACAATTAGCAGATTTGTTGTTAGGTAGAAAATGGCATGATAGACATGACGAAGAATGGAGCCCAGTCAATGGTTGGTTTTCTTAGGTCGGTATGTAAAGTCTTGTTGTTGACATACCAGGGAGTTGCAGTTATTATTCTTAAAATTTTAGATTGAAAAGATTGTAGTTTTTGTAAGTGAGTCTTTTTAGCTGAACCGTAAATCTGTGAGGCATATTTATATAATATGACATGATTTTTTCCTCAGCTATTTTCTAAAACTTAAGTATTTCATCAATTACATTAAGTAAAGCCATTTTATAAATCAGAATAATAAATTATTTCATGAGATTATAGTAACATAAGAAAGGTTTTTTTTTTTAAACTGCAATTAAAGATATGAAGAATCACGTAAGCTTGGACAACAGATAGTAAGTACCGATCTAGACGAACAGATTTATTGTTATTACAATTACTGAAAATATTCACCTTATACTAAGAATTGCCATACAATTTTTATAATAAACTTTATCATACATAATGGTCAGATCGGTTCCTATATTAATTAAGGGATATAAATGGCAAACTTCAAAGCTCATACAATGATAACATGTTTTAAAAATAATTAATATTACAACAGCAAAATGGAGTTAGAGGCAAATGGATAAATTAAAAGCAAGTGTGCTCAATCAAGGTAATGTAAACATAAAAAAAAAAAAATACATATAAAATAAATTCAACTAAGGAGGGATGGATATCAAACTAAGCGAAAACACAAAATCCGATAATAAGGGGCAGTACCTGATGTCAGAGCTGCCATCGCCACGGTGCTATCTTACACCTTATATCAACTTTCCCAATTTCTAAAAAATTAATACACTTCATTATCACGACCAACACCAAGCCAACATTTAACTATAGGCTTCATCAAGGCAATAACTATATCAGATAATGTTAGTTATGAATGTTTCAATTACATCCATTCTTCCAGAATCCTGATGCAGTCTCTATTTTAATTGATGATTGAATTAGTTCCTTAAATGTCATTTTCATAATAGAAACATAGAATTTTGATGATTACACGGTTATATTTAAGTTTAAAATTATGGCTATTAAACAGAAAATTACTAAACACATAGAATAAATTAATTTTCAATTAATAAATTTTAAATAATTAATTAACTCTAAGTGGAGTCTATTTAAACTTAAATTAAAGAAATTCCTAGTTGTTTCTGAAGGTATTTTGTAATACATATGATTAAAAAAATAAAATGAGTTTAACATTCTAACTATGAGACTAAATAACAAAATCAGTTTTGTTTTATAATATAGCTAAACATTTTTTTATCTTTATTTGCTATATTTTTCATCTTGCCTGTCACATGAGTAATTAGTCCGTAGTACAAACTCTTTTTTATCAAATTATTAACATCCGGCTGAAACTTTGTAAATAGCTTAATCTCATCACAATCTACAAATATTTTATTTATGAAAATTCTCGGGATTGGAAGTCGTTCAGCGTGACCCACACCCCCAAATTGTCAAAATAATGAGATTATATAGGCCAAATGCATCAATATTTTTAAAGGCCATCTTTTTTCTAGACTTTATCTCAAGTTACCTCACGATTAAAGAGGAAGGAAAATGAGTATTTATGAGTTTTTAGTACCTAATTAAATAGACAAAGTTTGTCGACCTATAGATCGAAAACGCCCCAATTCCAAGAATTTTTGTTAATAAAATGTTTGTAGACTGCGATGAGATGAAAGTATTTAGGAAGTTTTAGGTGGATATTAATAATTTGATAAAATGAGGTCTGTACTACGGACTATATGACAATGGATGTTTACTTCGATCTTTGTGGTTATTTTTCTGAGACTAAACTTTACTCATTAAGTTATAATTTTGGTAATTTTTTATTAATTTTTTTTATTATTTTGAGACTCATACATTAAAATATGTGTTTTTATTACGTTATTTCTATTTGATATTTTCTCATTAAATCAAAATAAATTATTAGATCATAGCTATATACATATCAGACAAATATAGGATTCCAGAAGAGATAGATGCTCACTTTAAAACAAGTCTGACATAACCCCTGCATGATCAAATACTTCTATTTCAGTTCCACGTTTAAGATGAACATATTCTTCGAACACAATAATAATATTAAAACAACTTACTGTCATGGCTATTGTTGTTATTGGTGGTCGTATTATTATTATTTGATTCTGTCAGAGAATCAAGAGAACTCGCTCGGGTGCTGCCGACTCTGTCATCTTCGACTGTCAGCTGAGGCGAAGTTATCTGCTTCCATTTGGCCAAGCCAGCTCCCTCGTTCACAGCTAGCTTGTTAGCTATAACTACAAAAAAAAAAAAAAAAATATATTATCATCTAAATAAATAAATAAAAAGGATTAACAATCCTTGAGGCACAAACAAATCCTCAAGGTTGAATCTAATACAGAACACCCACCTACGTTTGGGTTAACCATTTGGAAACTTTCCACTTGGATTAAATCTGATTATCCGTTCAGGGATAGGCTTTCTATCCACTTTATATCCACCATCTATTTATCACCTAAATCATACTTAAAGGGAGCAGACAAGTTATTTGACATTGCTCCTATCCAAGTATTCTACGAAATACTTCATTTTCAAAAACTTTAAGGCATTATTCTTCTCTTGATTTAACCAGCCAAATTTTGTATTAATACAGAATAATAGAAAGCTTGTCCAGAATAATAGAAAGAAAGAAAAAGCTTGTCCATCCACCACAGCATTATGTCTTAGGAAACCACACTTTTCAAGCTGTATCAAACTTCACCTACACCGGATCCATAATTAACAACAGCAATAACAAAGAGGAGGAGATAGGAGCTAGAATAATGGCTGCCAACAGAGCGTACTTTTCTCTAGCGAGCCTTCTGAAAAGTAGATTGTTAAATCGTACAACGAAGTTTAGGATATACAAAACGATTATTCGGCCAGTTGCAACATATGCGTGTGAAACATGGACTCTAACAAAGGCATCTACTGCACGAATAGATCGATTTGAAAAGAAAATACTAAGACGGATAATAGGACCTAAACTGGAGGAAGGAGTTCCCCGCTTGAGAACAAACAAGGAAGTATACTCAATGTACGGTAATCTGTCTATCTACCAATTCGCTCGAGTGCAACGAATGAAATGGTTAGGACATGTCCTAAGAATGGATGAAGCGAGGACAGCGAGAAGGCTTTATCAAGAGAAGCCGGAGGGAATTAGGTCTAGGGGAAGAACGAAGGCAACATGGATAGATAATGTAAAAGAAGACCTGAAAAAAACGGCATATCCATCAGGTGCGGAGCCAACAGGGATGACTGGGCAAAGGGAATTGAGCAGGCCAAGGACCGCTACATGCGTCTGTTGTGCCAGTAATGAATAAATGGATGACAGAATAATAGAAAATACCATTAGTTTATTGCAAAAAGTTATTTAGTGACAATTTATAACCTTAAATTACTAAGAGGTTCGATAAACTTTGCATTTACTGAATAATGCCAGTTTACTGAAAAAAGTCACTAAGATTATTGTTTTTGTGAATTTTGACTTTCTTTATCAATAAAAAAACATTGTAAGTGCACAAAAATGACACAAAACCTTTTCTATAACAAGTATTGTTACTCTGATTTCATGAAGGAGAAATTCTAAAAAGTTTTTAATTATTTAACACTATGAAATGCCACCTAATGACTTTTAGCAATAATCCGATAATATATTTATTGATAAATAAGGTCAAAATTCATATACGCTCTAAAAAGTTCAGCACCGAGCCAAAAAACCCACGATGCAATGGTAGATTTCCATATTCTAACTTTTAGACTCCTTGAATAAAATAAGTAATTTTACAAACATGAGTTAACAAATATTGATTGCCTAAAACCTGTCCTTGATTTCCTCTTGGAATTCATTTTCATTTTGTTATGGTTAATCTCACATACTTAAATATCTTATTTAGCATTTCAACTTAATTATTTTTAATTCCTTTAAAATTGAAAATTTTTGTTTTATCTGTAATTATTCTGTTCTTTTCTGGTTTTCATTAACATTGTATTCAATAAATTATTCATTGCACCTTTTTCTAACATTATGAAAAATCATTATCTTTTATCTGATATAATACACTTTATGGGTCATATAATTAATTGTTTATATTAAAAAATGTTTCAATTTAAAATAATCGTTACCTGGTGGAGGAGTGATCTGGGGTATCCTGTTCCAATCTTTATTGAAGTCTCTTTGAAGCATAGCCTTAGTTTCCATTTCAAACCTCCAATAAAAAACATTGATTATTAAAATTTCTAAAGTCAATTAATAGCAATATCCTCAGAAATTAAAATAGGATCCATTTGAAAAAACATCTGATATAAAATTAACTATAAGCAAAAATAGGATTTAACATTAGGGTAAAAGCACCAGTGGCTGACAATGCATCAATACCTCACGTCCTCCTTGAAAAATGGGTATAATAAGATTTCAGGACCTCCTAGACCTCTATATTTTTTCCTTAATTTGTGTCTTTTGCTTTAGTCTTTCCAGGAACCGTTACCGAAATAATGGCTGATGAAGTAAGAGATTCCCTTATAGTCCACTCAGTATCCAAGGAACAACAATCTATTGATAAGGGAATCATATCTTAGCTTTGTCTCTTTCTCTTTAACTACTTCCATTTATCTCAAAATTTATGTTTTAGTTTTTCTTGGAGTGTTTTTAGATTAGGTTTTGTCTGTTTTTAACCTATATTATTAAAGGAATTGCAGAATTTAATGGGTATAGGTTATTGGAACCTAATTTTGTGCTTTTTGCCAATTGTTGACAGGCCTGTGCTTTCAAAAATTCAAAGATTTATACTCAAATTAACATGTCTTAAAAATGGACCATCCAATACTTTTTCATTAAAAAACAATTGTTAGTAATGTGGATTAAATACAAAGCAAAAATAAGTTTTCCTATTGCAAAAAACAGGTTCTTGAGAGTATTCAGCATTTACCGATACATTTAAATCAGGAAACGCAAGAAGTCAGTTTTATGATAAGTTAAAGATAATTTTTATTAATATCCATCTTAAATTGAAGAATATAAAATTTCAACAATTTATTTTGCATAATTACATCCTTATTCTCATTCCTGTCAGGTATAGGAATATTTCAAATCAAACAGTTTCAGCTATTGATATAACAAAAATGTTCTTTAAATTTAGTTTTTTAGAATGAGGAGAATGCTTCTTGGTTTTTGATGTGTCTTGGTAAGAAGTAGTTCTATAAGATTAATCCAAGAAAAATGCAATAACATCACATCTTAAGTATGTCAACTACTGATGTTTTTACCCTAATTGCAAATGAACACATAAGCATACACACAGAAATTTTGGTAAAGTATTTGAAGAATAACTATTCAGTAACTTACTGAAAATATCAAATTCAGTCCAAGTTGGTTATTTGTTTGTAATTACTGTTAACATTAACATTATTGTTTGTAAGTTTAAAAAAAAAAAGCAGCATACTCCATTCTTACAAACTGAATTCAATAATTTGAGCTAACATCAGGTAATTATTTTAATAATAAGAAATAAATACTGTTACTTTAAAGCAGAGATCTTCAAGCAGTGAAATGAGCTTTCTAAGAGAAATAATTCATGCAATAAATGGTGTAGAAATCTTCTGTTTGTGTGATTTACTTAATTTCGTATTTTTTAAACACTTGGAAAATTTTACCATGTAATCTAAGAGACTTTCGAGGGTCGGCTTGGAGACCCCTGCTTTAAACAATGGTTTAAACTATTTTTATATAAATAAAACCAATAAACTCAACGATAACATACTTTCTAATTCTCTCCTTGTAGGCTTCTGATAGGCCTGTGTAGGTCAGTATGGTCCCGTCGCTGGTCGGTGGCTGAGGCGGCGGCGACTTACTTGGTCGTGGTTCCTTAACCTCTCCTCCATCAGTCTTGTCCGAAGGTATCTCTTTGTCTGAACAATACAAAATATAATATTATTCATTATTATTAAGGCATAATACTAAATATATACGTAACTTTACAGTTTATAAAAAAAAAAAAAAACTAAAGTGTGTGTTTTAGTCCACACGATAGAAGTAAAAATATCAACAAGGTGAGACTAATAATATGGAATATAAATTATAAATAATAGCTCATTATTTCCCTCGCTTACAGTATTCAGGACTGATTTTTAGTTTCTGAGATATTTTAATTCATATCTCCAATAAAACTCGTTATAATTTGGTTTTCAACACTATTTTTTCCTTTTCGCCTCCCTAACACGGCGTCGCGTTAAGATACAATTTTGAATAATGGCTCATTACAGAGAGGATGAAATGATGAACATTTTGCTTGCTAACAATATGCATATCAGATATTTAGTTTTTGAGATTTTAATCCATTTGTAAAATACTTCAATTAGTCAATGCCGGCCGACTTTACCCGAGCGTTACACATCAGAGATCTGATAATTCAATCTAATTCGCTCTCCACAAAAAAAAGTGCAAAGCACGCCTAAAGAAGTTTTCACTTCAAAAATCCTAAAAAGAATTGGCACGATGTGCTTGACTGAAAAATAATTAGTGGCTCTAGATTTTAACTATTAAAGTTGTAACTAAATACAATAAATTTTTAAAATTTCAATTTTATGAAAACAATGATAAGGTTAATAAACTTTTAAATTTATATTATTGAATCCATAATAATAAAAAATAAACTTAGCAAAAATTATCTTAATACAGAATAATATTTATAATAATTTAATTCTAGTTTTGTTTAACTAGTAGGTTTTGTTGATTTAATTTAGCTAGTTTTGTAGGTAACAATTTAGCAGAATGTTTACATACATTCTTATAACGATATCCTCTCGTAAGTGGCAAATGAAAGTATGACATTGAAATGTAATTAACAGCAGAGATCTCAAGCAAATAAAGCAGAGATTTAACATGACTTGATAGCATTAAAGTATCACATTGAATTAGCTTTGGATAAGAGCAAAAATTAAAAATCTTATGAAACTCGGCATTCATGATAACTTAATCAATAAAAAACTATTCTATTTTAGTAAGAACAAAATTTAGGCTGAAACGAAGATACTTACTGTTAATGTTTGCTTGGGCATGGAGATCTATCGCTCCTGGAAATAATACGGAGCCACGTACCCCAGAGGCGATGGCACCAGCGATGCTGGTCGCAACTGACTTATTGTCGGTTGATCCTGGATCGCTTTCCTTCCTTCGCTGTAGGAGAATCCCTCCAATGCTCTCCTTTTTATCACCTTTCTGTAAACAGTCATCATACTGATACAATACAGGGTATATTATAATTTTAAAATACAACAGTCAATTCTGTATTTTATTATTGTAACTGACAAGTTCACTTATATTTTATCAAATGTACTAATGCACTGATGATAAGAAACAAATCACTCGATAGACAAAAATTATCCTCTCTGCTTTGCACAAAACCTATCTTGGCCTAAAAAATGGTTAAAATATTAAATAGTATAGCTTTATTTATACTGTTATTAGCTTTTTCGAAAAAAGACAGAATACACACGAAATATAAAACTCCCAAACACTACTTTAAGTATTATGAAAAAGCCTCATTTTTAATTATTTCTGCCCACATGAATTTAAATTACCCTAAAAAAGACCTATGAAAAGACCTATAAACTTGGAATAAATAAATAAATTTATTAAACCAATATTGACCAAATGAGATTATATTTGAATAGTATTCAAATCCAAATAGTTGGTACAGAACCAAATTTATTCAAATCAAGTTTATTTGATAGTAATCAATAGTTAACTAATTAATGAAATAATAATTTTTTTTTTATTTTTCTCAGTAATGAAAAAGTTGTAATTGCAATTTAAAGATTTTTTTTTATCCTTCCCTTCCTTGCCTTTTAAGCTATACAGGGGTTTTGCAGGGACAGAGGGTAAGGACGAGGGATTAATGACAGAGTTAAAATCCCCATGGCACGGTGACGCGAACTCGTACTTAATTTATTAAATTATATCTTTAATCAGGATGGTGGGCAACGGTGGTGCTGTGCACACGTGTTCACCCGCTCGATCCTCCAGCCCCCATAATTTAAAGGTTTATTATCTGAAATAAAATAAATTATAAAATATTAAAAAGTAAAAACCTAAAAGATAGAAGTGATCCAGAACACCAGAATCTTACTTCATAACCTTTCACCTTCATGCAGTTTGTTTCATTGAACCTTGAACACATTTCTCGAGAGGCTGATAATAACCTTACAGGATTTGGGTGAGCAACAAACGAGAGTTGGAGCAGTGATAGGAAGGCCAAGGGATGAGAGGGAGAGGCAGGATGGGGAGTGGCTATGTGGTGAGCCTTACGGTTGGTGAGGAATGGTCTTAGCTATTATTTGGCCAGGTTTGATTCACTGCAACCAGAAGAAAAAATCCTTCAATACAAAATCAGACGATTCTTAGCCTAAGATGAAAGCCCCAAAAAAGGACTAATATACACTGAAAGGATCATACTGCCTAGGCCTAGAAAATAATTGCCATAAAGTCTCATGAATATATTTTAGCAGCTTAGACTCATCAATGTATTTAAACCAGTGCTTGAAATGGAAAAAAAAAACTTTTATTTTTAAATCAGAATTTTCATAGTCGATAGTGTTCAGTTCTTTTGGAACTAGAACTTTTCTCTTCCAACTTTTCAAATAAACCTTTTACAGGACTATTATTTAAAAAAAAAATGACTTTCATTCACAGCTGCTCAAACAAACAACATGATGAATCATGTGTAGTTTATTTAAGACAAATTATAACTCTAATCTAAGCCCAATTACTATTTATTTTTAATTTAATGGAACTTTTTTAAAGAACTTGAATAAATAAAGGTTAAACTTTTACCGTAAACCTGGAACTTTATTACAAAAAAGTCCTAAGAACTTTTATTTTAAGAACTTTTTTCCTAAAATGTTTCACAAAAACTTTAAAAATGAAACTTTTTTCCTTAAAATTTCAACTCCTGGTTTAAAACATTATTTTTAAGTGACAATTTTTTTTTCAACATTTAGAACTTTTCTCATTTAAATAAAATATAAAAGTTTATTTTAATGAAAAAAAAAGTTTTTAAACTAATTTTTATAATTCTATTTAGCATTCAGGTCGAAGATTTAAAAAAATAGAGATATTAGCAAAAGCAACTTTCACAGGATTTAAATCCTACGATCATCATGTTATTGCAAATATATATAATAAATGAAAATAATGATAAATGAGCTGGGTAGGCTAAAAATCACGAATAAGGACTGCTTGGATAGAGAAATTTTGGGGAAAAAACTAAAAGAGGTTAAGGTTCTTATGGGGAGGAGAGAGAGATGAGGGAGAAAATGAACTAAGGAAGAGCAAGAGGAACAGTCCAGGAGGATGAAAGAGTATTGGAATGGAAGGAAGGCTGAAGGTGTGAAGAAGAACAAGAAATGATATTCGCTTGGTCCTTGCTGGCCGATTCATGTAAAAATGAAAATAATGATAAGTACCAGAATAAAATTTTGGATATTGAGTTAGAAAAGTCTTCAACCCCAAATCTAAGAGTGACTAGCGAGTAGTCCAGATATAGAACTGATTAAACATTTATGGAATAATTAGAAAACAAAAATAAATAAAAAGGCCGACTTTACTAGACTATTTTTGAGAATTAATGTTATTCTGATGAAAGAATATGAAAATAAACACTCAGGAATTTATGAAAGACTTTAACCAGCAGGTTAATAGCACAAAGAAGGTAAAAATGTAGACCATAATGTAAAAGGAGGAAATATACACTTCACGAAAAGCTCATAAAAAAAAAAGAAATAAAAAAAGCTTTTTTTATTAAACTTGCTGTCTTAATTATACTTATAAATTTCTTCCATACAATCCCTAATGTGAAAAACACCTCTGTAAAAAACAAGAAGAATACTAATAATTAGACGATTAAAAATTATTATTTTTTCTCTTTTCAGTATAAAATTTAAAACATTTAAAATAGCTAAATGAGTTTAATGTGATTAGTAGAATTAATTTCAGAAGTTTGAAATTAGGAAGAAAAAGCAAATAAATTTGCATGCCCTAAAAAATATTCTTTTGAACATCTATTACACAACAAACAAGACCACAATGCAAAAACATCTAAAGCAATAAAAAACATAAAATAATAAAAGAGTCCATTTATATACACATAAATAATAAAGTACACAAATATATTTCTGGATAAATCTACTATAATATTTCTTGTTAATTATGTAAATTTAATTCATAAATAATGTAAAAACAATTCATAGTTTTTATATAAATCATTTAAATAAATGACATGAACAGAAAAAGCTAAAATTTATTATAAGGACTGCAGTATTCATTCACAAATCCAAGCATGCATGTCTAGGCCAAAAACAAAAACCAGGGACACAGTCAATTCCCCTTAATATGAACACACGGGAACTGAAAAGGTAAACAGTTTTATTGGGCCATTTGCATTTAACTAGATCAAAATTATCTTAACAATAAACAACTGACATTATCTGCACAAAATAATGGGATTCAACCTCCTCCTTTAATTAAACTTCTGAGAATCGAGGCATTACCTTTAATGCCTCCATTCTCCATGCCATTCCTTAATGGATGTTCTTGATGACGTTCTTCTCCCTTGTCAACAAGCATTGTATACAAATTTATTTGCTTTAACAATAATTCAGTTTAAAAAGTCTCTCCAAAGTTATAAAAAATAAAGGCCATCTGATAAAGCCGATTTCAGGTTTGTCAACAAATTATAAAAGTTATGAAATGAAAAATTGTGATTTCCATTTGCATGATTCTTTTTTAAGTATATTTAATAATGTAATAAAGTATAGGCAACTTACTTTATTAATTTATTTAATAATTATTTATTAATTATTTAAATAACAACGTTTTATTACCTTACTTACTGTGCACAACAATGATTCTTATTTTAAGAGCTCTGCATTTAATAGGTATCACAATTTATTGCAACTAAATGATTTGGTTTCAGGATACCTAATTAGATGATGTAAACTATATACAGATTTTTTTTTTAATCAAATGGAACATTTTAATTTGATATTTTTTGATTGAAATTTATAATTTTTTAACCCTTTAATGACGGAGAACATATATATGAATCGAGAAAGAGTTCATGCCCTGGTGAGAGTAGATTCACATCACACTCATTGGGCTCTTTCTCCGAAACGATGGGATGCTCAGTGATCAATTCTATTTTTAAACTATCTCGTGGCCTTTCCATGAGGCAGGGCAGTACGTAATTTTGGTCGCTGAAGATTATGGGTATTTTGGAACGATGTCCTAAATAAAAACGCTAAAATGATCAACAGTATTCCAATACGAAAAAGTGTCTCTTACTTTACTGTTCTCATTTAATTTAATTTTAATAATTTTAGCAAATAATGGTAAAAAATATGACAATGTAACATTTTATGGATTTATATAATATTAGGAGCAGTAAAAGAGAATTCCAGACGATGGAGCAGGGCTCCAAAACGTTGAGTATGTTACCCAATTAAAGAAAAAATAATGATACTAGGACAAGAAAGAATCTAAAAAGACCAAAAATCAAAACCTAAATAGAATCTGTATATAATTATATTATCTTTCTTTCCATTTTATTAGAAATTATGAAGTAATACAAAAATAACGCATTATTGTTGGAAGAAAAATAAAATCTATTAAAAAACTTTAAAACCAATCTTGATCAGCTTGTACAAGATACCAAAACTGGGACAAATGTTCCTATGTTCAAGGAAAATTATTAAAAATATTGTATCGAAGGAATGGATTGAAATAGGAAGGTGCAGGTAGAACTGAAATCAATTTTTAGTGGACTATCCCTCTTTCAATTATGGACATTCATATAAAATGGGATGAAGGTTAATAGCAACTTAACATTCAGTGGCAGATCCACCTAAGAAGTTGCCTCATGTTTGAGGTGAACTGCGTTCAGTAAGTTGGGCTCACCTGTCAATGGTGGGCGCCTAGTGAACATGGCTAATGCACTTTTCCAATCAGCTATCCCAGTTCCAAAAATAATTAATAAAAAAATAGCTAACATGCCACAGGTAACAAATATATTTATGATAAAATAAATTATCTACACATAAATAGACAATGCTAAACTTAAAAAGCCACTGAAAAGGGAAAATTTTTAATCTATTATAAAAAATAACTGTTCATTAGAGAAGCTATTTAATTATAACAGAATTTAGAACTTTAGAACAAAATATGTAATTTCACTGAATATGATAATTCAAAGACATGAAAATAAAATGTAACAGTTCATTCTTCATGAGATGATTTAAAAATAAACAATAAAAATATTTAAAAATGGCTTACATCATTTGGCGAGGTGTCATCGCTGGGAACGGCAGTGGAAGGCAGACTTTTGCGGGTTTTGGACTTCATCATTTTGCGGTTGGCAGCAGTAATGATTGATGAAACGATGTCTCTCCTACTTACTTCACTTTTCATACCTGTACAACAGATCCACATGCCATCTCTAGGAAATCTTCCCTTCTGATTACCCAACTCTACTTCTACGTACTCACCAACTATTCTAAACGCTTTTCAATGGTAGGAAACTGCTTCATAGAGGAAGATGGAAACACACAATATATTTCGGTAACATTTCATATCAACCAATTGTGTCAAACAGAGGCAATTTTATTCTATATTACTTTTTTGAGATGGAGTTTGTCGGGGGAGGGGTGCAGTCACATAAATTCTATATTATTTTATTTGTTACACCAACATTTTGACCCACTTTGTAGGTCTTCATCAGGGCATGGTATCAGCTACTGCAGGAAGTAGTTGGTAGACTGGTAGTCGGCAATTATATATTACTTTTTAATTTGCTTTTACAAAATACCTTTGATAAATATTGAACTGAATTCATTCAAATTCATGTGATTTTAACACCTTTTAAAGGAGGAACTATTTAAAAAAATAAAATAAGTTTAAGAGATACAAAAACCATTGAAGTTTGGCGGCCAGGCTTAAAATATTTCTCCATGTATAGTTTAAGGAAAAGATGGAGTAATTTGTATGAACTTTTTTACATCAAAAGAATGGAAAAAACTTTGGTAATATGACCTCAAAAATGTAATAAATTTGAAATCCCATAAGCGAGGTAATTGTACAATTCAAGTTTTAACATGAGGTGGGGGCCTGTTTTCGCTTCTATTATGATTTTTTTCTAATCATAAAAACTGAGATTCATGAAATAAAATAAATTCCTATCATTTAATAAAATCAATTAAAATGAAATATGCGGACACAATTTAATAATAAAAAGGGAAAAGAAATAAAGCCAAAGTGAGCGAAGAAAGAACAAAACATAACAGTTAATAGAGAATAGTGCTTCATTTACAATAAACAAGTAAGTATTACTAACATAGATATTGTGTGTTTCCAGCCGAAATTGTTTAAAATCAATTGACATAAAAGGAAAACTAAATCATATTATAGAACAAGCACTGCATGAGCAAATCTTAAGAAATTTATAACATAAGCTTGAACGTAAGAAACATATATATGTGTGTACATATACTAATATGTAAATATATATACACATACACAAACACATAAAAAAAAAATGCATGTTTACACTTTTTTGAAATGCACATGCAGTGGAATGAACAGCAAAACTGTAATTATATTTCATTTTATAATTTAAAATATTCCAAAGTGCCCAATACAAGCTAAAACAAAATCGTACTCGAAAGTGCACCAGTACCATTCAAAGATGATAAATCCTTACAGAACAGAGAGACAAAGAGTATCATTCCAACATCACATGCACTTCAAAAAGACGAGTCATTAAAATTATATATAATATCACAGAAATAAAATGATAAATTTATAACGAATAAGTGTTCTCTAACTTATTCATACCTGAATACACCACCAGCTATGTAAGATATTTTTAAGAAATTTCATTTGGAACAATTAAACGAGTATTAGTTTCATTGACTATTTTTCCCCTCATACAAATTATAAACCGGTCAATGAACAAGTTCAACAAAAAATGTAGCAGTGATGATTATTTTTATTAAATCATTAGTGGTTGGCTCCAGGAATTCTCTGTCACACTCCACAGAATGGATCTGAATGTGGGATCCACTAAATTGGAACATTCAGTAGACAATTGCATATTTTAATTTTTTTCTCAAATAATTATATCGCAACAACCATTAGGCTTAATTGTGTTATAATACTACAAATAATAATATATCATTGTATACATCAATAGCTAGAATATCCATCCAAATCCCTAATGAATTTTCTGAAATTTAAAAATTTCATTTAATTTAATTTAACTTTCTGTGGCACCTGCTCTGTCATTGCTACATCAGATAAAAGATTCCACTGGACTCATAAATAATATTTAGTCAAAAAAACGTTTGAAAAGATATTACAAGCAGACAGTAATTAATTAACCCTGAAGGCAGAGAACAAAAATGGACTTCATGGCAGGCAAAGGTTCGATTGTAAATTAGGAAACTGTATGTTATTCTAAGTAAGAAAAACCTTGTCTGCTGTTACAGAGCTGCTGCTTTCAAAAATGGCGGTTAATTTTAAGAATATTAGGCCAGTATTTTGAGGATCGAAACAGGAAATCTATTACGAAAAACATAAAACCACGGTTAACCAACACTGATTTTTACCAAATTTGTTAAAAACTGAGACAAATTACTACAATTGGCTCTGTAACTTGGAAATGTGTTCCTCAAGAGGAAAACCCCATAGAATCAAAGTTGTAGAGCATCAAATTTTGCGTCCAGCAAGTACTAAATAATTTAATGTAGATCACTTACTCCGAACAAAATTGGTAATCTCCCGATGGTTAGAAATCGGTAATGAATGTAAACCTTATTTTCAATATTTCAACAGTATGAGTGTCTATTATATTGAGTTATGTTTGTTTGGAGTCTGTTACATGCAGTATAAGCCTATTTTCCACCTCTCATCAGCGAAGGATTTTGATAAACGATATGTTGAAAGATACCGAATTTCATAAAGGAATAACGAATCCCGATTTGAGATATATAATTGGTCTGCAATAAAAATGTCAGTACTCGATGGACACGAAATTTGATGTTCTACAACTTTGATTCTATGATGTTCTACAACTTTGATTCTATGGGTTTTTCCTCTTAGGGAACTCATTTCCAAGTTACAGAGCCATTTATAGTAATTTATCTCGGTTTTGAACAAATTTGGAAAAAATCCGCGTTGGTAGACCGTGGGTTTATATCTTAACACGTAACCAAATTAAAATTTAATGTACTCTTTCAACAAAAAAAATTTAATGTTCTTTAATTTATTAAAAAGTACATTTTTCGCTTTGATGCATCATTTAGGAGTTATAGGCAAAAATAAAAAAAAAATATCGAAAAAATCTGACTTTTTTGGATGTAAAAAGTTTTTCTTGGTGGCCCGGGTAAGCAATTTTGTTTTTTACATCTCTGAACCCATATATACAAGTTAAAAAAATAAAAACATTTTTCAAAATGGATTTTCTGTTTTGATTCTCAAATTACTGGTCTAACATTCCTTAAATCAGCCACCATGTTTTAAAGCAGCGACTCTGGAACGGCAGACAAGGTTCATTTTGCTCAGAATAACATACAATTTCGTAATTTACAATCAAACCTTCGCCTGCGATGAGGTTGATTTTTGGGCCGTTGCTCCAAGGCTAAATTATATAACTGGAAAACAACAGGTTATATGTGCTATTAATAGGTATTATATCCTTAAATCTCAAAGTTTAATTATTTTATGGGGTATGGCCCGGCACGTACAGAGGTCGGTATGAAAGAGACAGTCATAGGCAGAACCTTTCGCATGTGGCAACTTTCTATTTCTATAAGTGTGTGCTGTTCTTTATAGATATTTATTATAAAAATGTGTTTATTTCAAATAAAATGGGTGTACACACAATTTAAGACTAATTCATTGCTGCCATAAAAAAGCAGCCTGCAATGACAGACCGGAGTTGCTCAAATTACTCTGACTAAATTAAAAAGAACACAAGGAAATGAATGTTTAATTTCATGTTTTATGATGAGTAAATTGGAGTTTGGAGTCAAACAGTTTTGAGCACAATGCTTTCATTCAAGTGCATCCAAAGATTTATTTTTAGTAAAAAACTTGACACTTCAACTCCATTTTATTTATAATCTTAGAATGTCTCTTCTGGCACAAGTCGTTTATTAACTGCTAGGTAATCCGATTGCTATAAGGGAAAGTAACCTTTCTGCTGGATACTTTGTGTATAAAATACACAACTCTCATACCAACCACCTGTAAGTGAACCAGGCCTCACCTTCCAGTATTTGAGATGATAAAAATAAAATTAGGAATTTAAATTGTATAGATATTATTTTAGTTAATTGTTGAGTAACTGTAAAAGGTATATTCTGACAAGAAAAGTTTTGAAAAATGCTAACAGAATATTTCTTTATAAAATATTAATTCATTGATAACTAATTTCCGATTGATATACTACTAACATGACCGATATATATATGTATACATAACTAATACCAACCTCCTAGTTTGTGAACGTTGCCTAAGAGTAGGGTTTGTTGATTAGTCTCAGATTCAGGAAGGGAATGGTTTTCGTTTGAACTATTGTCATCCAGAATTAAACTTTCTGGTCCATCATCGCTGAAGCACCAGTCAGCCTGAAAAAAAAAAATGAAATATGTATATAACTACAAATTAACACACATCACTACTTACAAACAGTTATTAGTATAAAAACTTTAAAGTGTAAAAAAAAAAAATATAAATGCAAATTTCATTTTATTAATGTATTATGTAATTATAAAAATAAATTTTGATGATCGATTCATTTATATTTCTAAGATTGCTATAGATAAATCTGAACTAGAACATCTTTAATTTTCTCAAGAACAAATAAATATAAGAAAAAATAAGCAAGGTAAAAGTTTATAAAATTTGTCAATATAGGATGCTTTATTTTTTCATTTGTTACAGACTGTGCAAAAATGAATAGGAAAATTATATTTCATGCAAATTTTATCCGTTTTAATTAAAATAGCATTTTTCTTTTGTTCATTAGAGATTCTCTTATTTATAGGTAAACAACAAATATTCTTTATATATTGGTATTATTGCAAGAAACCTCATGTCATATTTAAGGTAAAAGAAAAAAAACCTGTACCACTACAACCCATGAAGGGTCTTGGGTTCAGTACTATTAAGGGAAAGCAGTGTTTCTTGGCCTACGGTTGTGAAAGGACATGATTTGACTGAGATCATGCTCAACTACCAGGTTTCTCTCCATCAGGGGGCGGGGTGGCCGAATGGGCTAAAGCGTGTGCACCAGTTGCCTGGCAACCGGATCAGAGATTTTGAGAAGATTAAAAAAGCATGAGTTCGCATCCTGGTGGCGGAGGGGATTTTAAATTCCGGCCCAGGAAAATCCTGTATAGCCTAAAAGGCGAGGTAGGGAAGGACAAAAAAAAAAGAAAAAAAAAAGGTTTCTCCCTATGATCAATTAATTAAGGATACCCACTTTATAGAGGGTGAGTGTGCCCTAGGAAGGTCTATCTACCCAAGGTCACTCCACGGTCAATGAAACAGAATAAATAATGTTTCTGCCATTAGCCGGGATTCAAACCTGGTATCTTTAGCATTGGAAGCTCACTACCCTACTACTGAGCTACCCCACTCCCCATATATTTAAGGCAATAATATATTTAATATATTTAAGGCATAACTCAGTAAAACCACAAGTAAAATCTGTTTTACCAGGAAAATTAAAGATGGACCGAGTTAAGATTAAAATATTGATTGATACTATCATAATATAAATTCTAATGAACATGAGCTATTGAAAAAGCTTACAGAAGAGATAAATACCAAAACTTTGCTCTCACCCATTTAGAACATTAACTATTAATTTGGAGCATTAATATTGTACTTTTAACAAAAAAAAAGTACATAACATTGATGAGGATCTTCAACATTTTTATAATAATGCCCAAGAGCTTTTATAATTCAAAATATTCCTTAAAATACTTTTTTTTTATCATAAATGATGTTTACTCACATGCTGAATAAGTGTTTCGACCACTCTGCATTGGTGTGACATATCAGTGACCATAGTAACCATATTATCATCACCAGCTCGTACAAGAGTCGGACCGAACACAATCGCCAAATTTCTCGCCTCCATCTTATTGATAGCTGAGTGCTCAACAACAAGTTTCAAGTGTTTCATAAGGTGTTTCAATGTTTCTAAATGATGATCTGGAAGCTCATGAACCTGTTAAAAAAATATATATATGTATATAAAATGTAAAATTGCTAAATCTGTCTTGAGTATAGAAACCAGGAGAAAAAAAAAGAAGCTAGGAGCATTGAATAGAATATATCTTAAGTTTTTAAATTAAAAAAATAATATGTGGTAAAAAAAAAAACTGTACTAGTAACAACCCATGAAGGGTTATGGGTTCAGTACAATGTGAGGAAGTACTGTTAAAAGGCCAACGGTTGTGAAGGGAGTTGATAGGCCAATATCACGCTCAACCGCCAGGTTTTCCCCCTTAATTAATTATTTAATTAAGAGTACCCAGTTTATAGAGCCTGGGTCTCTCGGCTCCAGGGTCAACCCACGGTTAATGAAAGATTACTAGTCATGAGCCGGATTCGAACCTGGGACATTGAGCTCTGGAAGTCAGTGCTCACCCACTGATCTACCCCACTCCCTAATATATGGTAAATATAAGTAAAAGATTTAGAGATTAATAAAAAAAAGAAACTAAACCAAAGAAACAGACTAATTTTTATCAATTTATTTATCACTTTTTTTTTCCAAAAGTTTAGTATTCTTAAAAAATGACAAACTATTAGAAGACTAAATTGATGACGTTCTAAATAAGAGTATGAAAAAGAAAAGCCTTACCAGCCTCCTAATCTCTAGTATCCTCATCCTAGGATCTTCCAACTTATCAGCGGCGATGAACATGGGGTACTGTTCGGTGGTGAGCAAACAGTCCGGGAGGTTCCTGAAGAACAGTTTGAGGAGGGAGGATATCACATTGACGTCAGTCCATCGCTGTTCCTGGTCGAGGAGGGCACTCTCGAGACCCTTGTTCACTGCCTCTGTAAGGGATGTCACAGCTCCTGTGTTACCGGGTACCCTAGAAGCCATCAAGAAATCGTTTATTTAAAAATGTAATATTATACTATGAAATTATATTCATCAAGATATAAACTAAATATTTTTTAATATAATGATCTTAATTTTGTATATTATATTAAAATCCACATTTAACTCTATTCATAAAAGTTAAGACATAACCTTCCTTTTGAAATCACTTCACATCTGATCAAGGTCTTCTTTAAAATACTTAGTTTTTGATTAAATATCATTCTATACGATGATTCATTAATATAAAAACAGAAGCAGATACTGAATCAATATTTAGTATTTATTATTGTTTATAACCAATTTCTATTTTAATTTTATTTATCTATTTCTTTTTCTTTATCCCTATTTCTTTTTTCTTTACACATTCTAAAGAATCCGCTCAAGTAGTGCATGTAGTATAATTAGCAAATAGAATATGTAAATTTATCTAATGCCTCTCCCATTACGGTAATTTTAAATATAAAACAGCAGGATTTATAAATAATTTTATAAAACATAGGAGAATAAAAAGATATCTTCGTGTTTAGAATATTTTTGTTTTCTTTTGTGTTTTGATCTCTAAGAAAATAAAATGTTCTAAACCACAAGAAGACAATATATGTATTTTTAATTACTTAATCAAGGCTAAAGAAACACCCTAATTTGGAGAAGTCATTATTCAAGAACTGTTATGTACATTATTACTAGACAATAAAAACTAAAAAAAACTCACCTGTATATTCCAATTATTTCTAATCCTCTTTCTTCAACTATACTTGTACACAGTTCGACTAGAAGCGGCACAAACTCATTGTTTTTAGACTGAAAATGATAAGTTGATTGATTATTGATAGATTCAAAACATATAAAAATAAATAAAATAATAATAATAAAAATATCGTACGCATCTACTGACCGGTGGGCAGAGGTAGAGAGGGACACCGATAGTTGCCCCCTCTGGATAGGTAGGTGGCGCAGTTGGCGATACTGGAGAGCCAGTCTGGATCCTCCTCAATTGTTTGGCTACCATCCCCTTCCAAGTTTTACTTTTAGGAGAACCAACAATAACTTCTGAAAAATAATGGATACAATTAGAAGTACGTTAATTATTTTTTGTCATTCTAATTGACTAATTACTAATTATTATAAGATAATCGACATTGTAATAATATAAAATTTCAGAGATTATTATGAGAAAGAAGTAACTTCAATAGCAACTGAATCAAAGGGATAAATTTGTTCTAAAATTAATTAATTTGGCTCCAATAGTGGATCCAGGATTTAATTTTGGGAGCTTCAGCCCAAAATCTTTTTTTAAACATGTATAATAATAATTACTTTGGAAGAAAAAGAAATGAACTAACAACATATATGAAATGAAATAGTGATTCTTAAAGTTCCAACAAAATGTATTACAAAAAAATAAAAAAATACTTTTAGAGATAATATTTTAATATGCTATAAGACATGGATATATTTTTCAATTTTTGGCAGGCAGCTTCAGCCCGAAAACTTCCCCACACCGTAAATCTGCCCCTATTTGGCTCATTCAATTATAATTAAAAGTATTACTATACTTAATTAACAGTATAGTTTCATAACTGAAAGTTTTCAAAAGTCTAATCGAAACCAAGAATAGGTTTCAGTCTGGAAAGAATGAAATCGAAGTACTTCATGAAATATAAAATTTTTGGTTTGACCCGAAAAGATTAATTTACACAATTCAGAATATACATGTTAATGACAATTACATGAAGAATTAACTATTAACTAATTAAATAATTCACTACAGTTAAATAAAACTATTCAAAGAATCATTTGATATTCAGTATTTCACAGAAATAAATACCATTTTTAAGGCTTACATAGATATTGCACAATTATTTCATACATATTTAAGCTTATTAATATGCAGTGCCAATATCTATAGTGCCAGGGAGCCACTGAGGTAAATGCAGTGCCTTGCTGATTACTAATCAACTTCGGAACCTACCTCCTAGCATTGTGCCTTCCAGATACGGGCCAGACTTCCTGCTCTTTCATGAATAACTTATGATAGGAACAATCACGCTTATAATTGCCTACCAATAGCTTCCTTCATTCTTATCTTACTGCTTACATCAATATAACCTCTTTAAATGGTTTACAATGGACGGCCTCGCTAGTTTTAAATTTTAGCAACTTTGAGAATCTTGATGAGAACGTCATAACTGACCTCATTATTGAGAGCTATGGAAGGAAAAAGTTTCCTTCCATGACTATTGTCAGTATGATTCATGTTACTAAAATATTCTGACCAAGAGAAGAAAGACCGATTTATTCCATCCATGTTTATCATGAAATATATAATTTTAATATTCAGGCAGGAATCAAACTAGCATGTTTTTTAGCCTGAACTTGGTGAAACAATACTGCAATAATTCTATTTTAATTTATAATCACAAATGAAGAATTTTCAAGCTAAGTGATCTACATAAAACTTCTAATATAGTTAAATATGATTAACTAAAAAAATAAATAAATATTAATCAAAAGCGAGATGTTTTGATCATGCAATAAATAATCACAGCCCATTGCTCCCTTTCTCCCGAACTGATATGTGTATACATAGTATACATACAGTGTGTAACATTTTTTGTCTAGATTTATTTCATTAAATATGTTTTTGTAGGTATTTTTAATAAAAATTTACACAAAACTTACTGGAAAATTGTTTTTTTTTTCTACAGATCACTTTAACAGGAAACGCTTCAAATGTTAATACTTATATTTTATTATAAATGTATATAATATCAAATAGAAGTGAACAACCTGATGATAATAATAATATATATATATATTAATTATGATAACACCTTCGGTTCTTTCAGGTTTTAAAGAATGCTATTAAATTTAAGTTTAAAAAATGCTACCAATAATCAAATACATACCAGATTGGCTGGGTTTACGAGTCTTGTTGACGGGCGATTGCCCAGTAGGCGAACGATTTCTAAAAGTGGTAGTGAGCTTCATGATCCCCTTGTGAGGGGCGACTGGGGAGACATTTTGACCACTAGTTGCTGTTGAATCCTAGTCAAAATAAAGACATATTATGGTTTGGAATAGTAAACTAAATGTTTATATTAATTTGGACTACAAAAGAAAAAAAAATTAAGGCAACAATTATTGAAATAGTTTTCAGTCCTAATAAAACGTTATACTTTGAATAAAATCCATATTCTATAAATAGGTAGTTCAAGAAAAATGCAGTTACAATACAAATTATTAACAAATGAACTAAATTAAATGGAGTACACTATTCATTGAAATTTACTCTAATACTATATTATAGAGATAATAACTGATAAAGTAATATTTTGGAAACAATCACACTTGTGGGAAAAACTGTGGAAAAACATCCTTCTTAATGGCTGTGAATATCTTTTTAGTTTAATAATGTAATTAATTATTATACAGAATTGTCATTGTATTAAATAATACTTTCAGGGGTACATCAATGAAATAATTTAAATATTTAAAATATATGTACTTACTTGTTGCGGGAGCCCACCACCAAGGGCACTCAGCCACTTAGACATGTCATGCTGAGACTCGGCCTGGAGCAGTATCTCTGAGATGTTGGGAGTTGACAAGCGAATAACATGCCTTCTCTTAGTGTAGTCGTCAGCTGAGGAGGCTTTGCTCGTGCTCAAGTCTATTCTCTCGTGATCAACTGGCGTCTAGAAGTAGAATAATTCAAAAGAAAATTAAAAAAAAAAAAATTCTTTTAATTTATATATGTTATAAATGATGTTAAACAGACATATAATTCAATAATAACAATATTAATGCTTTCAATATACTTGTACAGAAGTTAAGACACCACCTTTTTTAATTGATATGGAGTGAACTTTGTCAATATTTTTTTCTTTTTACCACCTATTATTATTCCTTTGTTCATAATACAACCCATTTTAAAATGCTCTTTGGTAATGTTTTTGAATTTACATAAGAATAAAAGCAAACATGGACAATCAACAAATAGCACTATGAAGGAAAATGAAGTTGGGCAAGTACTGACACGAAAGTTCCTTTTCACTGTTGAATTTAGTACAAGAACAAACAGGTACACAATTTGGAAAAACACATTTAACTGAGACTAATTAAGTGCCTTCAATCAAGCCTCAATACATATATTAATTTCTATTTATATATTAAATAGAAATATTAAAAAAAATAATCAATTCATCTAATTGATAGAATTTAATTTATAATATATGAAAACTAATTAGAACATAGAAAAAAATATCTTTTTAAAATTAGTAATATTAATTAAAAATATAACAAATATTCTTTATACGCTCATAAACATTGTATTCAACCATTATTTATTATTTTGAAATTTTTACTTAAATTATTATTCATGATCAATCCAATAATAAATAAAGTAATGAGAATTCTTAATATAACAATGTGAAATACTTCTAGTGAGATTTTATTAAGAAAATTAGAAACTAATAAAACTGTTAATATAATTCAACAGTTTAAGTAAAAGAATTCAAATGCTGACAATGGGGAGAGTTACAATGTTGCCAAAAGAATTGAGATAAAATAGTAAATGTTTTTTCTCTCTAAAGGTTATGTCTCAACATTTAAAAATAATACAGAATTAATTTATTCAGTAAGTTGGTAACGTTATTAATCAGATAAATAAACATATTTCTAGGACAAATGGAAACAAAAAGTTAGGTTATGAGAAAAATGTTTATTGGAATATTTGACTAACACAATAAACATTTGAAATTAAGATTTTTTATAGTAATAATTCCAAATTGTTTCTGTTGTTGATATATATCTGATTCAGTAATTAAATAAAAGTATATAACAACATTTTTAAGGAAGAATTTAAATTTTCTAAATGCCATTAGGGATAATTATGAAATAGTTAGTCTCGCGGGGAAATGAACCTGCTTATTTTTTAATTGATATACTTTTACTATTTATTGATGAATTTGCTTTATTTTTATTAAAAATAAAAGGTTCTAAAACATGAGTACCTGGTCTACATAAATAGCTTTCATGGCAAGTTCAAAACGATCTCAATCTAATATTAAGAACACACACAAAAAGAAATTAAAATACAAAACTGTTTGAATATGCCAGGCTTTTATATTAAACTGAATTTATTAAAAAAATAAATTAATTAAGGCATGAGATGTTATATTAGTGTAGTTTCTAATCGCCAAAACGAACGACTAATTGTGATAAATCTTTTTTTAAAGTCAGAAAAAGTGTTTGGAAATTTAAATGGGAAAACATATATAGAATTCGATACACGCTAAAGGCGGGATTGGACTTCCAATAAACTTACAATCTAGAGATGGATGTATAGTTGATTATTGAAAATGTAACGATGAAAAATGCTCAGGATGTCAGAATGTGCAGTCAGAAACGTAGGCAAACTCAATAAACATAAGTTTTGACCGCACATCAGGATCATTTTTGACTCTTTCAAACTTTCAATCAATGATTAAAAACATTCATGCTAAAAATAAATTTGCGAGATAGAGAACGATAAAAAAAAAAAAAAAAAATCGAGAAAAACATTCTTATATTATTAACTTACGAAATAAGAGTAATACATTTCACATACACACACAAAAAAAATTATAATACAATTAAAACACGAGCTAATAAAAAATTGAAGAATTATTTTTTTTTTATCATAAGTTTAATAATTCGAATCTCCGAACAGTGCTTTTATTTCATCCAAACTCTAAAGTAAGAGAATGTATTCAGCGATTAAAACCAAAATATACTATATTATAAACATTTAGAACAAACAGAGACTGTGAAAACATCTTCATAAAAGTATTTAATTAATCCAATTATTATTACAGTAAATATATTTTATTTAACGTTTCTACGAAGAATATACTATACAAGTACGATTAAAATTTACATACACACAACAAAAGCCACAGATCTCACCGAAACGAAAAGATTCAGATACTCTATCTGTGTACAACTAGATATCAAATATAACAGAGATAATTTTTTAAAGAATGAGGCATTTAATTAGAGTGTTTATTTTATTCTGAAGTACTTCCTTTAAATGATTTATCACATAGAAAAGAAAACAACAACAATGATGTTCGTATATGTAAAATTATTTTAAAATACTTTTGGATGGGTATAAGAATTGTAAAATTGTCCTAAAAAAAAGAACGAGAATCATCAAAAACTTAATAGCAAAGTAGACCAGAAATGAATGAATTGTGATAAGAAAATCTGGTCATTGACTTGTGCGTGTTTGCATATACATATATGAATCGTCAAAAGACATAATTCCATTTTCCGTTCCCCTAAGCTGTTCATGCGCCAACTGTCAACTTTCCGGTATATTGAGAAACCATAAATAGTTGACTCGTAGGCCTATTTATATTTGAAAGCGATAAAGCTATTTTTTCTCGGCCGGTGGAGTTGGCATGTTTGAATACAAAGTAATTCGAACATAGGGGTGTTCGCACAATGAGAACCGAGCTTGGCATCGGCTAAGAAGGACACTTAAATATAACCAGTGCAATTGTTATTCAAATTCACTCGAGAGAGAATTTTTAAATCGATATCTAAGTCAAGGGAAAGTGAAAACAGGCGAAACACTTTAAATAGCTTCAATTCAAATTTCCCTTTCGGTAAAAGGTGTTGCGGCTTATAAACGGATCAGGTAATATTCATTATATCTTTCAATCGGCCAGACTCACACCACAAGATTAATCCAAATTGATTATGCGTAGTTATAAATAAAAATAAAACGAAATAATTCTCCTGACCTAAGATTGCGTTGCATAAATTTGAGATTCGACATCCTTAAAAAGGGACATGCCGGTGGAACAACCTGGAACATCCGCATCACTTATGTTTTGAAAGTCTTTACTTTTACGATGCTGAACTTATTTCATCTAAAAACTTGACCTTTTGAGAGAAAAATAAGTTAAAGATTTCGTTTAATAAAGTCCATGCCAAGTCAACTATCGATGCATTATATGAATGAAATAAGAAGAACGTGGTATAATAATTTATTCCGTGGTACAGACCACTTTTTATCAAATTATTAATATCCGCCTGAAACTTCTTAAATATCTTCATCTCCTTGCAACTTATAACTATTTTATTTACGAAAACTCTTGGAGTTGAGACGTTTTCAATTTGGAGATCGGCAAACTTTGTCTATTTAATTAGGTAATAATTAATTAATTAATAATTTACTAAAGGTAAATACCTACTTTTCTTTCCACTTGGATCGTAACATAATTTGATCATAAAACTGATAAAAAAAAAAAAGGTGGCCTACAAAAACATAGGACATTTTGGCCTATATAATCTCGTTATTTTGCCAATTGGGGATGTATGTCACGCCAAACGGCTCAATATTCTTGCTCAAATTATCTCACGATCCAAGTGGAAAGCAAATGGGTATTTAAGAGTTTTTAGTACCTAATTAAATTAACAAAGTTTGTCCTCCTCCAGATTGAAAACGCTCCAATTCCGAGAATTTTCGTAAATAAAATATTTGTAGGTTACAATGAAATCAGGGGTTCCCAGAAGGGAGTCTCATGGCGCATTTCGTCTTTGAGGGGGGAATATTTTGAATTTTGGAGGGGGGCAAATTTCGACGGGGTTATGAATTTTTGGACTATGGGACAAAGGGAAAATATGGAACAGACAGCGACAAGTATAATTGGGTATGATCTACGATTTTTCTAATTATACCTTACCCTGCTCTATTTTTAAGAAAAGGTGTCCAATAAAATATCTTATTATTATTTAAAATCGAGTTAATTGAAAAATATTTTTTACGAAACTAAAGACAAGTAGTAAATTTTTTTCCGGGTAAAAGTTCTTCATAAGTAGACTCTATAAGTAAATCAGTATAGCTTCCTCATGATTGTATTTTTTTTTTTATTTACATAAAAAACAAATGTATAAATGCATACATTTGAATAAAATAATAATTTTATTTAAAAATTAATAAAATAATTCAATAATGCAAATTATGTTTAAAAGCTAATAAAGCCTTCGATTGTGACGTTCAGTCAAAAAAATAAAACAAATATCATTTATTCATCATCAAAAAATAAATATCATTTACGTATTTTTACATTTTTTTTTTTTTTTTTTTGACTGAACTTCCCAACCAACTTCTCTACAATTTTCACTACAGTTAACCATCAATCCACTATAATATAAACTACCATTGTCCATAAGACTTCCATTCGGACCGTGGACCTTTCTCTCTCATTAAAAGTTTTGTTAGTTTATATTATGTAAACAAATTATGAGTGATAATTAACCTAATCAACATAACTAAAGTAAAACGAACAATATAATACTAACTAAAAAAATAAATTTATGTATATGTTAATATATTAGTTTTATTTATTTTTTTGCCGATGGATATATTTGAAAATATGTTAACAAACCAATTGTAACATATTATGTATTTGTATTTAAAGGTTTGAGACAGGGAGATGAACTCTCCATTCTCCGATGCCTCAAATTTGAAATATGACAAATGAGATAAAGTCTTCACGTAAATAAAGGAAGCGTGAACTTGAATGAATAATAAAATGCTAGAATTTCTATATCTTTGAATATAAACTAAAACTTTAATAATAGGACCATAGGGAGAGGTAAAATATTTCCCCACCTACTTCTAGGTCTAAGCTTAACTATCTAG